GCCTGAGGGGGCTACGGGAAGACGGGCGCCGTCCTGCACTTGGGTCCAGGCTACGGGTGCGGCTCAGCGGCTGTCGCGGGGAGCAGGGTGGGCACAGCCTGCCGTCCCTCTGTCGGGCACATTCTGGCTGAGCACCTCCCTGGGCCGCGGCGCACACAGGCGGACAAACCCCGTGCTCGTGGGGCTGCTTTTCCGGGGACGGGGTGTGGCCTTGGCAGACAGTAGGCAGAACTAGAAAGTATGTATTATGTTAGCAAGGGTTGGAGTGTGAAGACAGGGTTTTCAGTTTTATAAACAGGGGTCAGGGAAGACCTTGCTAAGGAGGTGTCGTTTACGGAAAGAAGGCCAGAGACGGAGCTACGCGGGGGTCTGAAGGAAAGGCGCCCCCTGCCCAAGGGGCAGTGTGTGCAAAGGCCCTGAGGCTGGCATGTGCCTGGAGTACAGAAGTGGAGGCAGGAGGTTCAGGGTAGCCGAAGGGGCGTGGGCATGTGAGCTGGAGCCTGAGCAGTAATGGTGGGGATGGCAGCGGGGGGGCCCCGTGCGGTGGCAGGGACCTGGTGTGCTCGATGGGGGGTGAGACAGGGGCCGCTGGGGACTGAGCCGAGCACTGACCTTGTCTGACTTGTGTTGAAAGAATCGCCTTGTTTCTGTGTGGAGAGTGGATCCTCAGACCCAGGGTAGCAGCTGAGATACTGTTAGGGGCCATTGCGGCGGCCCAGGTGAGACATGGCGGCAGCTGAGATGTGGCCGGCAGCAGCGGGTCGAGAGAAGGGGCCGCCTCCTGAGGGCGAAACCGATGCTGTCTGCCAGTGGGTGGACGTGGAGCCAATCAGGCTCGAGGTTCCCTCCTGAGCAACTGGGAGGCTGAGTTGTCGTTTGCTGAGAAGCCTGGGACGGCCAGGCGTCGGAGGAGCTGGGCTTAGTCTTGGCCATGTCTGTTAGTCCGAGGAGATGTCCCGACTGGTCGCGCCCGTGTGCGGTCTGGGGAGGGAGTCTGGGCCACGGGGGCACGTCTGGGCGTTGTCAGCTACCGGGCGTTCAGAGCCACGGGAAGGGCGAGGTGTGAAGGAGACGGGGCCCGAGGAGGCTACTGGGGGGTCTGAGCTGTGAGAACTCAGCAGCAGGAGTCCAAGAGGGAGAGCCAGGAGAGGGAGGTGTCTGGAAGACCAGAGACCCAAGCGTCAGGGAGGAAGGAGAGCTCCAGGTGTCACAGCCGCTAAGGGGTCGAGTTTGGTGAGGACGGAGAACTGGCCATGGGATTTAGCAGCATGGAGGTCAGCGGTGACCTCAGCCCACGCCATCTGGTAGAGAGTGTGTGTGGGGTGACGCTCTGAACGGAGTGCATGCGTGCAAGAGAGCACTCGAGGGAGACAGGAGCGGGAGTGCCGGCGAACTCTGGAGGTTGTGCTGTAAAGGGGAAAGAGAAGTGGGGGTCCCCCTCCTCAGCGGCCCAGGTAGGGGCCAGGACCAGGTGGGGAGGTAGGTCCGGGAGGGCTGCGGCAGGTCTTCTCGGTGCCTGGGTCCACTGGCAGCCGCTGCACCCTCCCAGGGGGCCGCGCTTCCTGGGGCCCTTGGCCTGCCCGGGCCCACCTTTTCCCCTGTCCCGTCCTGCAGTCCATGCTGCTCCTGGCCCCGAAGCTGAACGAGGCCAACCTCAATGTGGAGCTGATGAAGCACTTCGCGAGGCTGCAGGCCAAGGACGAGCAGGGCCCCATCCGCTGCAACACCACCGTGTGCCTGGGGAAGATCGGCTCCTACCTCAGCGCCGGCGTGAGTGCCCCGCGCCGCTGCCCGGGGTCTGTCACTGTCACTGTCACTGTCGCAGGGCCGGGCCTTTTTCTCTGTGGGCCACCCTCCTCCCAGAGGCCCGGGTCCTGGGTGCTCCCGGCCCTGTGTCTGAGGGGCGGAGTGAGCTGTGCCTGGTCACACAGCCAGGACACACAGCCAGGACGCTGTGGAGACGGGAACCATACCCAGGCCTGCAGGCCCCGAGGTCTGCGTGCGCCCTCCCGGCCGGGGTCTGTAAATGCAAACGCCCAAGGCGCCCAGACCATTAATAGGAATGAAGGAACCGGGCTGGTGGGGCAGGAGGGGAGCGAGGCACAAGCCCCCACCCCAGGGCAGTCGCTGCCCTGGCCCTGCCACAGTGAGGCAGTGTGAGTCCAGCGACCTGGGACAAGAAGCCAAGAACCAGAGTTTCGAGTAAATTCTCCCTCACTTGTTAGTGACAAATGCGTTATTTTATATACTGGGGGCCCTGTGGATGGCTTCTGCTCTAGACAGTGAGGCCTGGTGGCTCTGGGCCCCAGGATGGACCCTGCGCTCAGAAGCCCTCTGTGTCCTGCCCCCCCCAGACCAGACACAGGGTCCTCACCTCCGCCTTCAGCCGGGCCACGAAGGACCCGTTTGCACCGTCTCGCGTTGCCGGCGTCCTGGGCTTCGCTGCCACCCACAACCTCTACTCCATGAACGACTGCGCCCACAAGATCCTGCCTGTGCTCTGCGGCCTCACCGTGGACCCTGAGAAATCCGTGCGGGACCAGGTGAGGCACAGCTCGGGGGGCCCTAGAGCTGGGGCTCTGGGGGACGGCCGGGCCCCAGCCGGCCTCGCGGGCTCACCGGAGCCCTGGAGGCCCAGCTCTGCCCTTGCTGCCCCACAGGCCTTCAAGGCCATTCGAAGTTTCCTTTCCAAACTGGAGTCTGTGTCAGAGGACCCCACCCAGCTGGCCGAAGTGGGTGAGTGGCCCGCACTCGAGACCCCTCCTGCTACACCCCTGACTGTCACCTGTTGGGCGCCCCCTCCTCATCAGAGTATCTGAAAGCTGGAAGAACCCCAGAGAGCAGACCTGCCCCCCCCACTCCCCCCCCATCTAGCAGATGAGAGCAGGCAGACCTGGAGAGGGGGTACCCACCGCAGGTCCCTGTGTTTCACCGTTGGCCCTGTCACACTCCCCACGGCCACCTGAGGGGCCTACACCTGTCCCCCTGTCACTGCCCAGAGAAGGATGTCCACGCAGCCTCCAGCCCTGGAATGGGAGGAGCCGCAGCCAGCTGGGCAGGCTGGGCCGTGACGGGTGTCTCCTCGCTCACCTCCAAGCTGATCCGCACACACCCTGCGGCTGCCCCGGGGGAGCCCAGCGTCCCCCAGAGACCCACGCCTGAGGGTGAGTGTCCCAAACGGGCTGCATCCGTGCCAGAGGGCTTGGAGGTGCTGGCACCCCGGAGCCATTGTCCGGCTCCCCCTGGGGTGGTGATGAGGACGTGGGGACAGGGTGGGGTCTAGTCCCCTTGTGATCGTCCCCTCTCTGCACCCGGCCCCCACCCCCCAGCAGCCCCTGCCCTGCCCTGAGACTTCCCTGGGCCCCAGCGTGTGGGAACTCAGAGCGCCTCTGCTTCCCAGGACTTCCGGCCCCGGCTCCCACCCCTGTCCCTCACACGCCCACGACCTCCGGACACTGGGAGGCACAAGAGGAGGACAAGGACACAGCGAAGGACAGCAGTGCTGCAGACAGATGGGATGACGAAGACTGGGGCAGCTTGGAAGTGAGTGGGGCTGAGGGGTGCCTCCCTGGGGGACCCTAGCTCCACAGTCACAGGTTGCCCTTCAGGGAACCCACGTGGGCTTGGCCTGGGGTCGGCCGTCTGCGTCTGCACGGCATCTCCGGTGAGGGGGCACCGTGGAGCAGCCGTCCTGGGCCAGAGCTGGCCGCTGACCTCCCTCTGGACTCCAGGGAGCAAGGTGGGGAGTGAGAGGCCTGGGGGGCACTGGTCGGCTCAGCCCACCAAGTCCTTGTCCTCTCATCGCTCCCTGTCCCGTCACCTGCTGCAGTGCCCAGCTGGCCTCAGTGGTCAGCACGGAGAGGCTACTCCCAGGCCTAGAACCAGGCCAGTCCTCTTTGAAGCGGGGAGGGGAGTTCAGGAAGGGCCGAGGATCTAGTGGGGCTTTGCTGAAGGACATGGGGGCAGGGAGCTGGGCCCGGTCTCCCCGTCTGGTGGGCAGCACTCTCTGTCCCCAGAAGCCACGGGGTGGGGGGACTCTAGACCTCATGCCCAGCCTCACAGAAGAGTGATGGCCAGGGACGTTTGGTGTGTGTGTGTACCTTACAGACGTGAAACAGGCTTGAGGCGCAAATAAGATGGAAGGCAAATGAAAAAAGGGGGGACCCATGGCTAGGAGGGGCTGGAGGTCTTCCTTGCCCTTTTGGGTGGGGGCAGGGGGGCTATGGTTGTGTTCTGCTTCCCACGCTGCAGCAGGAGGCCGAGTCGGTGCTAGCCCAGCAGGACAACTGGGGCACCGGGGGGCAAGCCCGCCACGCTGGACAGGTGAGCCGGATGGGCAGGAGGCGAGTGTGTGTGGGAAGCCAGGCCGGGCCCCTGTCCGGTGCCACCTCCCCCTTCTCTCTGCAGACCGGCGACCCTGACCACAGATCCCCGGAGTCAGACTGGAGCAGCTGGGAAGCCGAGGGCTCATGGGAGCAGGGCTGGCAGGAGCGGAGCCCCCAGGAGCCATCCCCTGAGGGCACACGAATGGCCAGCGAGTACAACTGGGGTGGGCTGGAGCCCAGTGACAAAGGCGACCCCTTTGCTGACCTGTCGGCCCGTCGGGAGGTTGGTGCCCAGGGGGAGGGTGCGGACCTGGGACGGGCCTCCACAGGGAGCTGGCCTCCACTCCCGCCCGTGCTTCCTTTTCCAGCCCAGACCCGACTCGTGGGGTGAGGACAACTGGGAGGGCCTGGAGACGGAGAGCCGTAAGTGCTTCCCCTGGCAGGGCCGGCACACCTCACCCCTCCCAGCGGGCAGGGGCTGGGGGTCTGAGACCCAGGCTGTCTGAGGCCCTCAGCCCACCCGCCTGCCTTTCCTGCTCCAGGGCAGGTAAGGGCCGAGCTGGCCCGGAAGAAGCGGGAGGAGCGCCGGCGGGAGATGGAGGCCAAACGTGCCGAGAAGAAGGCCGCCAAGGGCCCCATGAAGCTGGGGACCAGGAAGCTGGACTGAGCCGCCGGTGTGGGCGCTTTCCGGCCATGGAGAGCAGGCCCCATGGGTGTATTTATTGTACAAACCGTGCCAGCCCGGCCAGCCCCGCCAGGCACATTTCACGTGTACATAATCAGAACCACAATAAATTGTATTTCACATCCCTCGTGCGGGGCTCAGTCTAGCCCCTCCAAGGAGGCCGGGGTCTGGCGCCGCCCCGCCGAGTCCGAGCCCCCCACAAAGCCGAGAGGAAAGAGGCACGGCCTGCTTTGTCAGTCGGTGTCTAGGGAACACCCTCTGGGAGGAAAGGCGGCAGCACCCGGAAGACCCCACATCCTGTCAACCAGGTGGAGCCGCGCGGGCACCCTGGGGACACGGGTCTCTGGAAGGGGTCTGCAGGCCCAGAGGGTCCCTGGGTCTGAGCCGTGGAGTCCAGGCAGAAGCTAGAGGCTGAGCTTGCCCCAGTGTTGGGGAGAAACCGCTTGGTGATCAGCGAGGTCCAGGCCGAAGGTGGTGTCAGCGGCGGCGCTGGGGCACGCAGGCCCCATGAGGGCGGTTGCGCACGAAGCCAGCTTTGCAGACGCAGCGAAAGGAACCATTAGTGTTCACGCAGCGCTCGCTCTTGCACAGCAGTCCGCGCTGGTTCAGCTCTCGACACTCGTCGACGTCTGGAGGTGAGGGTGACAGAGAGTGGACTTCACCAGGATGCCGGAGCTGAGCTGTGCAGAGGCGGGTTGACAGGGCCCCGCCCTATCCCGCCCCCAGCCTCTGGCCCCGCCCCCTGGCTCACCTACGCAGCGCGCTCGGGAGGCGTCAAGCTGGAAGCCACCCGGACACTCGCACACGGCTCCTCCGGGCCGTGGCACGCAGCGGCCGCTTACGCAGCGGCACTCGTCCGAATCTTCCTCTGAGCTGTCCTCTTCTGCGCCGGCCAGCCGGCAGAACAGATATGTCAACACTGCCCCCAGCGATGGCTCTGACCCCGCCTCTGTCCCCTCCGCTACTCTCACCTCGCGGCTGCTTCCCCAGCAGTAGGGGGCTCGCGTCCCAGAAGGAATTGCTCTCGCTCTGTGATGTTGGGCACTGGGAACCTGGGAGAGGCAGTCAGTAGTCAGCACAGTCAGTACAACTCAGCTCCCGACCCCCTCCCTACTCCCTCTGGTTCAACCCTCCCCGGGTCGGCTCACCAGCGCCGCGCGGCGGGCAGGGGCGGCACTGGGAACCCCAGCCGCGGCCCTGGCGACAGCAGCAGTCTTCAAAGGTGAGCGTGGGCCCAGCCAGGGCGCCCGCACACATGCCGTCCTCCCCGCGCTGGGTCCAGCACACGTCCCGACGCTCCGGGGCACGGTCTGCGGAAGGGGCCCAGGTCAGGGAGAAGCCTGAAGCCAGGACGGCCCGCCTGCACCCCAGGGCTTGACAGGGCAGACGGGCCCCTAGAGTCAGACTGGGATGACCCTCGCACTCACCGGCGGGGCTGTCGGGGAGCTGGCAGTCTCGGCCAGAGGGCCCAGGCACCCATGGCGGGCGACACTCGCAGCGGTAGGAGCCCGGTAGGTTGATACAGCGGCCATGGCGGCAGGTTGCGGGGTCCTGGCACTCGTCCACATCTATGGGCAGCCGAAGGATGGGTCAGGAGGTCATAGCTTATCCAGGACCCCCACCTTTCTCCCGGTTCCCCAGCCAGCAGGCCCGGGCCTCACCCATCTCCTCGGGGTTCAGACACTGTCGCTGGGCGGGGCTGTACTCGGCGGGGGGCGTGCAGGCGCAGCGGTAGCCTCCTCGCGTGTTCTCACACACTCCGTTCCGGCAGTTGGACTCATCCAAGCACTCGTCCACGTCTGCGGGGAGGAAGACGCGAGCGGTAAGCAGCAGGCCCGTTGCTCATGCCTCCTGGCCTCTCTCCCACGGCCGCGGCGCCGGCCGCACTCACCCACGCACTCCAGCAGGTTCCCGTCGTAGTAGAAGCCCTGCTTGCAGTAGCACTCGTAGCCGGGCTGTGTGTTCACGCACTTGCCCTCCTTGCAGATCTCGGCCCCGAACAAGATGCACTCGTCGATGTCTGCGGAGAAACGAGCCGTGTGTGCCCAGCAGCCTCTAGCTGTGGGGCCTCTGAGGCCTGGCAGAGCAGGAGCAGAGCACACTCAGTGGTAAAGACTCTCCCAGCCACTACTGTGAGTGAGGAGGGAGGGGCTTGGTAGGGGGAGGGGCAAATATTGGCGGTGGGTGGGGCTTACTCCAGCTCTCTCAACTGACCCAGCAAGCACCAGCAGGGTCGGAGGAACCGGGTCGGGGCTTACCACGATGGGCTGGGATGCCGTAGTTGACGATGCTGTTGTCCTGGGTGTAGCCCTTCCCGTCGGGGCAGAGGCTGTGGAACTCAGCTGTGGGTTGAGTCGGGGAGGAAAGAGGCAGACGGCGTTGGCTGAGGGCGGAGCTCTCCTCTGCATGCCCCACCTACCCAGGGAGCCGCCCATTCCCCCAGTGCAAACCGAGGCTCTGACGAGGGAAAGGGCCCGCCGGCTCCTGACCTGAGCTGTAGACTGGGCAGGGGTAGATCTCGCAGTGGTCTCCCCAGCCGGCCCCCAGCGAGCAGCAGCACTCCTGCTGGGTGACATTGGTGGCCAGCACACTGTCGCAGAACACCGTGTCATCAAAGTTAAGGTAGCACTCCTTCTTGTGATGGGGCTGCTCCACCTCTGAGGGGGGGAAGGGCAGCTCAGGGTCCCGTGGACTGGATCTTCCTGTCCACGCTGTCCACCAACCTCACCCCCCTGCTCCCCCACATTCCCCGGCTCCCCTGAGCAGCCCTGTGAAAACCAAGCTCCATCCTCAAGCTGGTATCCGGGGCCCTCCTGCCCGGTCTGGCCCCACTGGACTCTTACAGGCAAGAGATGTCTCCCTGTTCCCCAAATTCCAGAGGGTGGGACTCAGGTACATCCCCAAACCCCAGCTGCAGCCCAGGGGAGCCCTCTGGTCAGGAGGGAGCTGGGAGGCACTCACCCTCGCAGCCGTGCTGGTCCTGCGTGGGTGTGAAGCCCTCGTCACACACGCAGACGTAGGAGCCCTGCAGGTTCTTGCAGGCCCCGTGGGGAAGGCACAGGCCCGGGTCCTGACTGCACTCATCTATGTCTTGCGGGGGGAGCGAGGGGGCAGGGAGAGCTGTTCAGGGGGAAACCAGCCCCTCTTTCCCAGGGGGGTGCCTCAAGGGCCTCACACAAGTTCAAAACCCGAAGCACACACAACAGGAAGTCCTGTCCCGTCCGCACGTGGGCAGGCGTGGGAGGGTAGGTACCCTTTATGGACCCTGGGAGCGGGTTCGCAGTGATCGTGAGTGGATAGTCGGTCCCCATCCACACATTATTCTTCAGAAAGCCTTCCACGGCTCCCACAGACCACAGAATGAAACCCCAACTCTCATCTCAGCATTGGAGAACTCTCCGTTGTGATCCCCCAATATCCCTAAATCCCAGCACCCTTCACTTTAAACCACCAGCACCTCCACTCTGTGTAGGGCACAGGCCCTACTCTCTCCTGAAGCACAGCCAGCTCCTTCCACTCTCTGCTTTGCGAAGACCGTTCTTTGGGCCTGGAATACCACCCCAAACTTCTCTCTGCTTAGGGAACATATTTATACTTGGGGGAACCCTACGGATGCCCCAGGTTCCAATTCAATTGTCACGTCTCTGCTGCAATTCATTGCTAGTCCAGACCACTCTTGGCAGTCAACACCCCGGGCTGGAAGAATCACTTTGGATGTCAGCCAGCCTCCCCTAGCTGGGAGCCCGGGCCACTGCTCAATACCTAGGACAGCACCTGGCCAACAGTAGGTTCTCAGTAAACTCTTGCTGGCTGAATACACGTAAGCGTGAATTGGCACATAGTAGGCACCACGCAATTACTGTCACCGCTACCGTTACCGTTGTTCTAAGTAAAAAAGTGGAAGGGTGACCAGGTGGATGGACAGACAGAAAGACAGATAAATCAACAGTGTGTCTAGGATTATCACTGCTCCCCGCCATTCCTCCTCCGGCGCTCGCACCCGATCCCCCCATACCTTGGCACTTCCTGCCGCCCACCAGCCGGTGCCCCTGGGGACAGAGACATCGGTAGGAGCCGTTGGTGTTGATGCAGTCACCCCCAATGCAGGCTGCGGGGAAGTCACACTCATCGATGTCTGCAGAGGATTGAAGAGGTGGAGAATCTCAGGGGCTGACCACCCCCACCCCCACGGCCCGAGGCTGCCACGCCTTCCCGCAGAGCCTCGGGTGGGGCCTGCACGCCACGCCCCATCTTGGATCTGGATGTGGGCTGGACCTGGGGATGCCTGGCTTGTTGACAGGTGACTCCTGGACTTGGGGCCTGGGCAGTGGAGGTTATGGGGCAGGGAAGAACAGGTCAGCCCTGCAGCTCTGCACCCCACCCCCCCACGTACCCTCACAGCGGCTCCAGTCCCTCGACAGATGGTAGCCGGAGAGGCACTGACACTGAAAGGAGCCTGGCGTGTTGGTGCAGATGCCATTGTCACACACGTCCCCAGCCTCACACTCGTCCACATCTGCAGAGCACAGGGTGTCATAGGGCCAGACTGGGGGCGGGGAGCCTCAGGCCTCTGCTCCCCTTCCTCCACTCCTGCCCACGGCCTGGAGCACAGGAGAAACGTGGGGCTCTCACCCCACTCCCGCGTGGCACGCCGTGCCCTGGCGGCCGGGCCACGGGCTGCCGTGGGCCCTGGCCTCCCCTTCATTCATCCTCACCACATAAGAGGCATCCTCCCGCATCCCCTCTTCCCATGCTGCCCTGGGCTTCCTCTACTGCTCAGTGAGAGAATTAAGGGCGATCGCCTCCAACCCCCGGAAAACCATTACCTACTTCCCTTCTCTCTGGCTCCCAGGAGAGCAAGAGGCGCCCCTTGTCTCTCCGTGGCTCCTCTCCCCGCCGCTCCTGCTGTGCCCTGACCACCTTCCTGGCGTCTCCTCCTCAGCCCACAGCCCTAGACCCCTCCCCGGGATCCCAGCTCTTGCTCTCCCTCATGTGTTGCCAGCATCTCCGGGCCTCTCATCACGCCACTAGAGCGTCTGCCAAGGCCTCCGGGGACCTTATTATGTCCCCAGTAAACAGTTAGTTTACGAGAAACTCTCTACTGCATTTAGCTCATCATTCTCGGCCCCGGAAGCCTCCCCTCCCCCCTTCTCAGCTGGTGCTCTTTGGGCCCTCCCACCACCGCTCCAGCCCCACCTCTCCCACCTCCTATTCCCCTGCCTGCCACTCACGTGGCAGTGTCCCCAAGGCTCTGCCACGGCTCCCCCTACTGGACCCACCCTCCTTGGCTGAGCAGGTATATACCCCAAAGCTCCACAGCCCCCATAGGTGTGTCTGGCCCAAGGCTTCCCATCCGTGTGGCTACCCTCTGCTGGCACCTCCAGCCAAGAGGCCCATCGGGACCACTCACTCACCCTGCCCAACGTGAAACTTAGGGTCTTCCTTATCAAACAGGCCCCACTCTTGGGGACCCTACCCCAGCGAGGAGCACCACCCACTGAGTCACCTAAACCAGAAATCTGGAGGGTGCTCACTGCCTGCTCTCCCTCAGGCGGACATTGAGTTAACAGGCCCAGGCAATCTGCTCTAATATTTCCCTCACATCACATCCTCTCATAACCATGCGGAGGCTGCGACCCCCAGTGTGTCGCATTCACCGGCATCTCTGCCGGAGTCTCTCCGAACGGACCTCCGGCCACTCTCCAAACGTGGCATCAGGGGACTTTCTAAAGCAGTTAGTGAATCTTGCCATTCTTCCTCTTAAAATGCTTCAGGTGCCCTGGCTGGCATAGCTCAGTGGATAGAGCTTGGGCTGCGAACCAGTGTCGCAGGTTCGATTCCCAGTCAGGGCACATGCCTGGGTTGCAGGCCATGACCCCCAGCAACCGCACATTGATGTTTCGCTCTCTCTCTCTCTCTCTCTCCCTCCCTTCCCTCTCTAAAAATAAATTAATAAAATCTTAAAAAAAAAAGCTGCAGGTGCCTCTTACCCTCAGGATGAAGCTCCACCTTAGGGGTACCGGGGATGCAGGGGATGGGGACCCGCCCCTCGCCAGCCAGCGTCGGCCCCACCCCCTGCTTGTACCCTTCAGCCCCTGCACACTCCACGCTGTTTTCCACCCTTCCTCCCTCTGCCGGGCGTCCTGCTCCTTTCACCTTTCCTTGCTTGGCCAACTCCTCTTGGTCCTTTAGGACAATTCAGGCCTCCCCTCCCCCAGCCGCGGCTGGTGTTCCGCAGGAGCCTCCAGCCTCCTTGCAGGCCCACAGCCCCGAGTCTCCCCCGTTCCGGCTTTCTCTGAATCCCCGACCCCAGCTGGCTTCTTGGTGCATCAGAAACATCAGTGCAACGGGGACTGCTAATACCCCTCTTCATCCTTTCGTCTTTTTTTTTTTCCTTCGAATCTAAGTAACGTGCTTTGCAAGCACAACTTCAAACCTTGCTTCCTAAGACCCTTCCTACGTGGAAATTCTGGTGGCTCTTCAGTCCACCAGGTTCTCTGAGAAAATGAGTGGGCAGATCAGTGACCAGGATTAGTAAATTACTAGCTACCTCCTGCCCACCCAACTGAGAGACCAGGTGAGCGGGTCCCCAGTTTCGGCGCGAATGGGTGGCAGCGGGAGGGGTTGGGGTGGGGGGAGGGCTGTAGCTCTCACCCAGGCAACTGCGGCCGTCGGGCGCAGGCGCGTAGCCCTGGGAGCACGTGCAGCGGAAAGAGCCTGGGAGGTTCTCACACCAGCCGTGAGAGCAGGGGGTGCCCTCGGCGCATTCGTTCACGTCTGCGACGAAAAAGACTGGTCTCGGGCTCCGCCCCCACTGCACGATCCCTCCGCGGGCGTGAGGGTCCCGCTTTCGAGGAGACTCTCGCCGCCGCAAGCCCCACCGCCGCCCCACTCGGATCCAGCCGACCTGGCCCCCTCTGGCAGGCACCTCCCAAACGGGTCCCTCCAATTTGCCTTCGAAGTCCCTCCCTCTGCCCTAGCCGCGACCCAGAACCCGCCCTCACCGCGACAGGCCCCGCCCCCCTGGCTGCGGTAGCCAGGCTGACAGGGGATGCACTTGAAGCTCCCGGGTTTGTTCTCGCATTTGCCATCCGGACAGGAGCTAGGATCTCGGCACTCGTCGATGTCTGCGCGGAAAGGAGAAAGGCCCGTTTGGGAACAACGTGGCTGGCCAGGCGCTCAGGGTCCTGGGCAGGGCCTCCCTCCGTCACACATGAACAAGGCGAACTGGCCCCTCTGGGATCCCGAACCCCAGCCCCTCTGAGAGGCCCTAAGCTGGGCAGGTCCCCCGCCTCCACCCCAGGTAGAGGCACAGCTGAGTGAGGACCCCGGTCGTTCTGGATGGGGCCTCCCCCACCTTCGCACACGGGCGGTCGGGAGGCTTTGAGCCGGTAGCCAGGATAGCAGTTGCACTTGTAGTGACCGGGGAAGTTGATGCAGAAGCCGCCGTCGCCGCACAGGTGGGGCTTGGCGCACTCGTTCAGGTCTGAGCGGATGGAAGGGGGCGCGAGCGCAGTGCAATGGGAGGCGGAGGGGATTCCGCCATGGTCTGGAGGAGAGCCGCCCCCCAACCCCGCACTCAGCCCCGGCGCCTCCCCCGCCCTGGCCTGGCTCACCCACGCACGAGCGCCCCCCGGCGCCCACGTGCAGGCGGTAGCCGCGGTTGCAGTGGCAGTTGTAGGAGCCGCCGGTGTTCATGCAGATGCCCCTGCCGTTGCCGCAGGGCTCCGCCTCGCACTCGTTCACGTCTGAGAAGGACGCGGGGGCAGAAAGCCGTCAAAGGGGTGTCGGGAACCACAGTGGTCTCCGGCCACCCACCCGCCCCGCTCACCCACGCAGTAGTGGTGCTGGGGGTGTGACCGGTAGCCCGGGTTGCAATGGCAGGAGTAGCCGGAGGGGCCCTGGATGCACTCTCCGTGGCCGCAGATGTTCTGGTTCAGTCGGCACTCGTCTGTCTCTGCGGGCGGGGAGCGGGGGGGCGGGTCAGAGGGTCGGGAGGGGAGCGCTCCCTTTCTGCCACGCCCCCTTGCGGACCTCCACGCCTCCTCCCGAGGATTCTGATACCGGAGCCCGGGCACACAGTGACCTCAGGTCCCTGTACACCACACTCCAGTCCTGGCACTTCCTATAGCTCCCTCGCAGATAACCCCAAACCATGACCCCAGGTCTGCGACATCGCTATTTCCTCAGCTCCAGGACCTTTGATATTCTAGCCCCACTCACTTGACCCTGGCCCCTGCCACCTCAATACTTAAAACCCTGCAGCCTCAGTCACACCAATATCCTCTGGCCCGGTGACCCTCAAGCCCCCTTGCATCATGGACCTGAGCCCCCCACGTAATGATTGGTCTCCCCTCCCCCACCCCAGGCAGGCAGGAGTCGGTTTCCTGGGAATCCTGGCTAGCGCGACAGGTTGTGCCTCAGTGGTCAGTCAGACCAGGAACCGCCCTCACCCTCTCTGTCACCAGTCCCTGGACCTCCTGCCTCCTACCTCTCCTTTTGGTCCCTCCGCCTGCATCCTCCACCCCAACGCCACGCAGCCCAGGCCTTGAAGCTGATCTCTGCCCCACCCCAAACACACCTGGCCAGTGGGCTTTTGCAGGCTGTTCTCTCTGCCTGGAGTGCCTCTCTCTTGGCATTCCTAACACCTTTCTTCTGAGAAGCCTCCCCAGGTGCCCCTTCCTCCACATTCCCGCAGCTGCCTGGGCTGTCACTGGGTTGTCCCAGCCTGTGTGGGCATCTTCCCCTCGAGCTCTTACCCCAGGAGCAAATGTAGCCTCTGGGTTTCAATCAGGCTGGCAGCCCCCTTGTGGCTTCCGAGTCCACAAAGACGTGGGCTTGAATCTGGCTCCGCTGTGTGACCTGGGGCAAGTTACTGAACCTCTCTGAGCCTCAGTCTTCTCAGTGGAAAATGAGGCCAACAGTGCCCACTTCAAAAAGTATGAGAGACTAAATGATACTTAGTCTGTAGAACTCCTCAGTCGGTGCCTGGCACAGGGCGACTGCTCAGCCATAGCTAGCAATTACGATGCCCCAAACCCTGCAGACACTTCCCACAGCCTTTGGAATCAAACCCAAGCCTCTTAACAAGGCTCCATGGGCCGGCCCGGCCCTGGTTCAGAAACACTGGTCTCTGTGTGGTTTCTCCCTCCTCCACCAGTTTCATGTTCCCACTGCTTTGCCCAAACTTAACTTCCCTTGGAATGTTTCCCCACCAACCTTCTCCTCTCTAATCCCTGACAATCTTTAAAGGCCTGCTCGGAAAGCCTTCTCTCGTTGCGATGCCGTGTCTCATCACAAGCCCCAGACTTCCTTTCCTCCCCTCTGATTTATTGTTCTCATAAATTTACTCAACCCTGGCTGGAGTAGCTCAGTGGATTGAGCGCAGGCTGCGAACCAAAGTGTCGCAGGTTCGATTCCCAGTCAGGGCACATGCCTGGGTTGCAGGCCATGACCCCCAGCAACTGCACATTGATGTTTCTCTCTCTCTCTCTCTTTCTCCCTCCCTTCCCTCTCTAAAAATAAATAAATAAAATCTTAAAAAAATTTACTCAGTGATCTGTTGTCTGCCTGTTCTGCACGGACAGGCAATTTTCGCCTGTTTTCTTTACTTCTGTATCCCACCCAGCAACTAAACAGTGTCTGGCATGTAGTAGGTGCTCAATAAATATTTGTTGAATGAATGAATAAATGCTTTCAGACTGGGTTGTAATATGGGTATCGCCATAATATTATTTGAGGGCAGAGTGGGGTCCCTTACTGCACATGGAGGGGTCCCAGGGCGTGGGACACAGTGAGCCCTGGATCAGTGTTATAGCTCCAGCATAATTGGAGGTAGGCAGGAGGGCAGGTAAACTAAGCTAGGGGGCACGGTTCGCCCGGGATGTGGCCTAGGTGGGCAGCTCTTACCTGTGACCTGCGTAGGGGCGATCTCTAAAGGGGGCAAGTCCGGCAGGAACCAGCGCACGGTGGAGGGCGAGGGCCGGGAGATCAGCTCTAGGGGCGGCAGCGCACACCCGTCAGGGGGTGAAGAGGGCAGGAGAGCCAGCGGACCCGCTCTCCGATGGCCTTCCCGGCTTCACCGCCCCCTGGTGCCTAGGCTGGGGACGTCCCTCAACAGACAGTGACAGCCCTGAAGGCCCAGCCCCTGCAGGGCCCATCTCACCGGGGTAGGACTTGGCCGGAGAGGTGGTCGAGGTCGGGTGGCTCTGCTGTGCCGGCTGCTCCTCGATCGCCGGCTGCAGGGGAGAGCAGCCTGAGCCCTCTGGGGCCTCTCTGCCGCCCCGCCCCTCCCGCCCGGCTTCTCGTACTCACTGAGTCAGTGCTCACCCCTGGAAGGGAAGCAGATGTCGCCGTTAAGTGTCGGGCTGGGAGAAGGGAGTCAAGTCTGGGGTCAGCAGTTGGGTATTTGTGGTTAGGGTCTGAGTGTTCAACCATCATGTCTCTGGGTCAAGTGTCAAGGGTTAGGTCCTGGGGTCAGGGAGTGTTTGCATCATGGGTCCAGGGAACAGGTATGGTTGGTCAAGGTCATGGAGTTACAGAACAAGGCTCCGGAGGTTATAGCTAGGGTCAGCCTCCTGGGTCAGACGTTGGAAGGTCAGATCTGGGGCCAGCATTTGGGCTGAATCAATGCCCTGATCTGAAACCAAAGGGGTTCCGGGGTCAGGGGATAGATTTGGAGGGCGGTGGATGGTCAGATCCTGCCACGCAAGGGTTAAATCCTGGGGTTCCAATCTCGGCTGGGGTGAAGAGGTCAGCTCTGGGGGTCAGCGGTTAGGACAGGGACGGGGGTCAGAGGTCAGGGTCAGCATCTGTCAGGGAATGGGAAGGGTCAGGCCAGACCTCTCTCTCCCTCTGTGTTCGCAGGCGGTGGCCCCCGGCTGGGGCTCTCGGGCAGCTGCTGCTGGGGCTTGGGCGGCCCGTCAGGGTGCAGGAAAAGCGAAAAGTCACTTTCGCCCTGAATGGTGAGCGTCTGGTGGGAAGTGAGGATGTGGTACCCCTTTCCGGCTGGACAGATCTCCTTGAAGGCGGCTGTGGCCAGAGCGAGGGGCAGAGAAGTGAGCATTTCCTGGACAGCGCAGAGCCCGCCGGCCCCCGGCCCCCGGCCCCGCGCGCCCAGGGCTCACCCGTGCCGTCGGTGGGGCAGCGCTGGCACCGCGTGCCCCAGGCCTTGCCGACGCTGCAGCAGCAGAGCTGGCGGGTGAGGCGCGTGTTCAGCGGGTGCTGGCACTGGTGCTCGGGGCTCACCAGGCGGAAACACAGGCTCTTCTCCTCGGGCTTGTCTGCTGCAGGGGCCGGGGCCGGGCGGGCACGGGCATCTGGGCCTGAACACTGCCCACTGCCCACGTCCCCCTTCCCAGCTCCTCCAGACCTTGCCTCTCCGGCCAGGTAACCCTTGATCCTCATGGAGCCCTGGACCCCATATGACCCTGAACTTATGTGACCCCTGAACCTGTTGTTACTCTGACCTCATGTGACCCCTTGAAACCTCTGTGACCACTGACCCCCCACTAACCCAATGCTAGCTGCTCTGGACTTTGTCCCTCCTACCCATCAAGTTCATGGTTTCATATGACCCTGACTTCATGGAGTCCCTGACCCCATGTGGCCTCTAACCCCAGATCTCAGGTGGCTGTTGACCCCACTGATCCTTGACCCCACTGCTCTGGGCCTTCTTCTTCCTGCCTCCAACTCTTGATCCCACTCTGACCTCTGACCCTGCTGCTCGTAGCCTCACCCCTCCAACCCATGCCTTCTGACCCCCCAGGAACCCAAGCCCCCAGTCTCACCAATGCACTGTGTCCGGGAGGGGCCCAAGCTATGGCCAGGTGGGCAGACGCAGCGATAGGAGCCGGGGTTGTTGAGGCAGTCACCATGGCGACACACGCCGGGCATCGCACACTCATTGATGTCTGTGGTGAGTGGGAGTTTGGTCCCTGTAGTCTGGGCCATGGGGTGACAGCAAGCTGCTCCAAGAACCTCGGGGTCCTGCCCCAGCCCCTCCTCCTCCTTGGGCCCACTGTGGGACCTCCCCCAGGGACAGCTGGCCTGCCCTCCACCCTCAGACTCCCCTGGCTGGCCGGCGTACCCTGGCAGTGAGTGCTGTTGAGTCTCTTGTAGCCCTGGGGGCAGTCAGAGCCCACCTCGCGCACAGGCCCTGGCTTCTGCACCCCTGTGTCTGCGGAGAGAGGAGAGTGTGGCAGGGGAGGGCGCTGGGGGCCTCCGGGGCGGGGAGGGAGGGCACAGGAGGGAGACCGAGTGGGGTGTGGAGGAGTCTGTGGGCAGGGTTACAAGAAGGCTGCACCAGGCTAGGAGGCGGGAGGGTGGGTCCACCCCAAAGTAGAGTGTCCCTGAGCGCACACACTCACACTGCAGCTGGGGACACTTGTGGCACTTGCTCTGGCCCCAGGCAGTACCGATGCTCCCGCAGCAGTCCTCCTGCTTGGTGAGGCCGGGGAGGGGGTTGCTGCCGCACTAGTGGGAGGAGCACAGACCGGTCACGAGGCGCCCAGCCCCCACCCCGCCTCCCTCCTGAGGCCCTTTGCCTCCCTTCTCAGCCCACAGACCCCAGAGAGCTGGGATAAGGCAACCCTGAGAGACCGTAGGGTCCATCCAGCGGGGACTGGGATTCACTCACGAGCTGCTTGGGCAGCGTGTCCTGGAAGCAGCGACCCAGGGGCTTCTGGGTAGGTGGCCGGGGGTGCTGCGGCTTCGGGTGTGGCAGCAGGTGCTGGGACGGGGCGGGGCCCTCCGCGTTCAGCCCTTCGATGCGGTGCACTTGGACCGAGGCCTCGGGTGGGTGGTGGACGCGCACGTTCACCACGGGGGGCGGGGCCTGCACTGGGGGGCGGCACGGTGGCCTCAGGGCTGCCCCGCGCAGCAGCGGCTGGCAGCGAGGAGCTCCTCCAGGGCTAGCCTCCGCCTGGGTCCCGCCACCCTAGCGCCCGCCCGCCTCGGCCTCCCCGGGGTCTGCCCGTCTCGCCCGGTACCTTCTGCTGAGATCTGTCCTGGCCCTAAGGGCACCAGGAAGGCCGCATGCTGGGCAGGGGGCCCCTCCCCGGGCCCGGGCGGATCAGCGATCACCTGGACCGCGTAGATGGCGTGCTTGCTGGCCATAGACTCGCTGTCTGGAGCCAGCACGCCTGCGGATAGGGCTCCGGCCCGGCCCACTCCGGGGCCTGAGCCGCCAGCGCCCCCGCCGGCTCCTCCAGCGGGCACCTGGCAGAAGCGACCCGTGAAGTCCGGAGGACACAGGCACTGGTTTCGGGAAGAGCACTGGCCGCCATTCATGCAGGGCAGAGGGCACACCACTGGGGAGGGGAGGCGGATTAGGACTCTGGCCAACCCCGCCCCCCCCCCAGCATCCATTCCGCACCCAGGCCCTTCCCTCACCCGTATCCTGTCTCCCCCCTCCTTCCTACTTCCTTGCCACCCACTGGCTCTGTCCTCCCCGGAACCCGGTTGTTGTGACACATCGTGAACACAGAAACGGCCCCGTAGGTTCCCCAACATCCTTCTACCCTTGCTGGCTTCTGGAGCTGTAAGTCTCGGACTTAAATCCTAGCTAAGAGGTCATGCGACAGCCGTGTGGCCCTGAGGACGTGCTCCCCTTCCCCGCGCCTCCGCGTCCTCGTCTCTGGGGATGCTGCGTCTATTAAATGAGCGGATGCCCGTCCGAGCGCTCGGCCCGGCGCCTGGCGCACAGAGCGTGCTTGGCAAGAGGTCGCCAACGATGAGGGCGGAGCGGCCTTGGCCTCTCCCCGCTTTCCTCGAGCTTTTCCTGAAATGCCATCTCTACCTGGCACTTCCTCCTCTCAATTTGCCCTCCACCCCCGCCCCCATTCAGTCCTCATCCTTCTCTGCCCCCCCCCCACCTTGCCATTCAGGGCCCATGCCTTACCCCTGCCAACAATGCCTTCGTCTGTAGCTACAGCTCCTGGCACCTCTCGTGGGCACCTCCACCCAGGGGCCCTGTCAGAAGCGGCATCCTGCCTCCCCACGCCCTGTGCGCACCAGGGGTCCCTGCCTGCCCCGGTCACTCCTCACTGAGCCTGGGGGCACCCTCTCTCTGCTCCCACCCTGCCCAGCTCTGGCCTCCGGCCTCCGGCCTGTCTCCTGAGGCCACCTCCCTCCACCCCCGCCCCAGGCCCTCCGCCTGCCCTTCCCTCGCTTTGAACCTTGCCACCCAGACCCCTCCTGGGCTCTCTCTCTCTCTCCGGCCAAATCGACCCCAAGCAAAGGCCTGGCACAGGCCCGCCCCCGCTCATGGCTGGCTTCCTTGCTGGGACATTCAAGGCTCTCCGTGGCCCAGAGCGAACCTTCTTTCAGCACCCGCCCTGAATTTCCCGTGCGCACCGCATGCCCCGGGACTCATCTCCCACTACAAAGCAGCCACATCCTCTGCCCCCAGAGCTTTACTCATGCCGTTCGCTCCGCCTCAGAGCCCTGTCCCCATCTCTGCATGTCCAGCTCTTGCCCCTCCAGTGTCACCCCCGTCCTCTCTCCTGAGCTGTCATCGCCCTCTGCCCCAGCGCTGCCTGGCACCGACCTCAGTTAGGGCAGTCACGCCTGTCTCCCGCGCAAGAGCGGGCGCTCTGGAGGGCGCCAGCAGGGCTGGGTCTGCCCCCGCTCTGGGCTCCAGAGGAGGTGCAGGGGAATGAATGGGGTGACCGTGGTCTTTCTGTCACACACACTTCTATCCCAACCTGACATCCAGCCTTGGGACCGTGAGCTCACACACCTGCCTGCCCCATGCGGCCCTTAATTTCCAGGGTGAGTTTCCGGGACGGGACGGTGGGGGTGCTGCTCTCCTGGACACCTGAAGGACCTCAGAGGGTCAGCCGGCATTCGTGGCCATCAGGGCCTGGCCAAGAGCATCCCAGCCCAGCCCAGCCCGCCCCGCCGCTTGGGGCCAGGACTTCCAGAGTATAAAGGGTGTGTTCTGGCCCAGGGGGGACAGGATCCTCTCCTTCCTGCCTTCCAGTGAGTCACCCATAGCGGCGAGGGTGACCTTCCAGTGACACCCGCCCACTGTGGCCTGGGCGCTGAGCCTGGGGGATGTGGGCAGCACGGATGGAGACAGCAGCCTGGAGAGGATGACCAGGGGGCCTGGGAGGTCCAGCCCACATACACTATCATCTCACACACACACACACACACACACACTCATGGACTCATTCGGACACCAACACGGGTTCACACAACGCTCCCACAGAGGCTGGGGACGGGCACCCAAGACGACAGTACAGAGAAACATGTACTCCATCACCGTGCACCACGCCAGAGCCCGTGCACGGCCCTGCGTGCGCGCCCCAACACACCTCATGGGAACTGCGAACCGTACCGGTTCCTTGGGGCCGTGAGCGGGGCTGTGAGGACAGGAATGTGTAAGAGGGGCTGTTTTGCTGGTGCCATCCTGGGCCCAGCCTAATTACCCTGTCCAGGAGGGTAATTACCGCTGGGACACCTCCCTCTGCCTGGCCCACAGGCCCTGGGGGAGGAGGACTGCACCCCAGGCCCGGCCCTTTGAGGGGAGATGCTGGGCAAGGGACCGGCTCCGGGCGGAACTGGGGAGTCAGAGGGGCTCGTTGGCAGGGAGGCTGAGGGCCTCTGGGCAGGGCTGCTGTGAGCGTCTGACCTCCATGAAGGCACATCGGGGACACCCGGAAAGGGGGACTGAAGACCCAAACCGGCGCCGACTTCCAGACCTGCACCCCACTCGCTGGGCCTCAACACCCCTCCCCTCCCAGACCTTGCCAGGAACTGAGTCCCTCAGCCCCCGCCCTGCTGGTAGCTCCTCCTCCCAGAGAATGCAGGTGCCTACCCCTGGCAGGCCTGGCTTGGGACATTTTTAAAGACTTTTCCTTTCTTCCAGCAACTGTTTCTGGAAGGAATATCTATCCCTTCTCCGAGATCTCCTGCCCCCAGCTCACACCCCTCAAATCCCTTGCGTGCTGACCCTCGCTCCCTTCCAGAGCCCAGCACCTTCCTAGGGGGGGCGCACTGTCATCCAGGACCCCAGCGCCACCCCGCACCTTACTCGCGCCTCAGCCCTAACCCGGAGCTGTGAAGTCCGGGCAGCCACGCGGCCCTCCCAACTCCGGCCCCAGGACTCCAGCCTGCCAACTCCCTGATGTCCGCGAGGCCCCAGGTCCCCGGAGCGCTGCGGGGCTCTCAGCACCCCCGGCCCCCGGTGTCTTCCGGCCTGCTCTGCCTTGTACCCCGCTTGAGCCCCGGCGCCCGCCCTCCCCGCTCCCCCAGCCCGCGCCCTCTGGCCCTCACCCACGCGGAAGCCGGAGCCCGTGAGCGTGTCGGTGCTGTGGCCGTTCTCTCCGATGAGCGTCATGTTGGAGCCCTGCTGACAACTGTCCCGACACTGGCCCTTGAGACAGGTCCGCTTGCAGATCAACGGCGCAAAGACCACCTTGAAGCGCTCGCGGGCCAGCGCCCCGCCCCCGCCGGCGCCCCGCTCGCCCGCCGGCCCCCCCTCGGCCCCGCCGCCCGGGCCCAGCAGCAGCAGCGGCAGCAGCGGCAGGAGCAGCGCCAGCAGCCCCGCCGCCCCCGCCCCGCGCATCTCAGGGGCCAGGCCGCTAGCAGCCCCTCGGGGCCCGGGCATCCGGGGCCTCAAGACCCAGGGGGCGCGCCGGGACCGGGGCTATGATCCCGGCGCCCCAGGCGGGCAGCAAGCCAGGAGCCACGGGAGAGGGCAGAGGGGGCAGCGAGGGCGAGGGACAGAGGAAGCGCGCAGGGAGGGGACGGCAGGCGCGGGCGGGGGCGCACGGGAGGCCAAGAGATGGAGGCTGGACTGCGCGGAGCCCAGAAACTTCCACCGCCCGGAAAGGAACCCAGCCACGGGCCGGACCGGGGGCCTGCAAAGGCCCCAGCCAGAGGCAGGCGCGAGGAGGCCGCAGCAAGTCGAGGCGGAGAGGAGGAGCGAGGGGAGGAAGGCCGGGCGGCCGGCCCGCTCCGCGCCTCCCCCGGCCGGGCTGGACTCCCGGGCGGTCGGGAAGCAGGGAGCGCGGGCAGGACGCAGGGAGAAGTGAGCAGTTGTTTTCCCTGGCTGCGGCGCGGCGGCGGCGAGGGGGCTGGGACGCTGGCCTCCGGCCAGGGAGACAGTTTTTTTTTCTTTCTTTCTTTTTTTTTCTGTTTAAAGCGTCGCCGCTCCCGCCTGGAGAAACAAGGGGGTGCGGGCGGGTGGAGGCTGGGGGCGGTCCCCTCTTTAGATGCCCGCCCCACCGGAACCCGCCGCCTCGCCCTGGGCCGTTGCCAGAAGGCTCTCACCTGGGCCCGCTGGCCTGGCCACCGGATTCCTCCGGGCGGGGCGGGGCGCGGCGCGGCGCGGCGGGGAGACCAGCCTAGACTTCGGCCCGCCCCATCAAAGCGGGACACCGAGGCTGGGAGCGGAGGAGCGGTCCTGCCTAGGTCACTGGAAGGAGGAGAGGCCAGGTGGGATTGGAACCCAGGCCTCAGACTTTTCCCAGCTTCCCTTGCACACGTGAGGGTCCCATCACCCCAAAGTCACATCCCAATTGTCCTGGTGTCCTGGTCCATTCTCCTTTGGCTAGGGGCGGGGGGTGGGGGGGTGGGGGGTGGCACCCTTTGCCGGGGGGGCTTAGTGAGGAGTCCCGAAGAGGGGCAGAAAGAACGCAGCTGGAATCCCAGCTTCCCTACCAACTCCCCCTCTAAATGGCTTCCTGGTGCCCACCGTACCCCCCCTTCCCTCCCTCCTCGTCTGGCCTGGCTGGCGGGGCTGGCTCTGGGCCTCAGACACTCTGGAATCGCCAAGGTCTGAGCTCAGGGCCTGGCCCCCTTCCCAGGCTAACAGCCGGGAGGAGGGGGGTGCTGCTTCAGGGCCCAGGGGCCTGGGGAGGGGCACAGCAGAGCCCCAGGCCAGGGGTTGGCAGGGGCCGGGGAGAGGCCTTGAGTCTGGTCAAGGCTGGAGGGGAGCCCAGTGTGTTCACTGGGCTGGAAGAGGGGCTGTCAGTGTCCTGGGGCCCAGGGTGGGTGTAAGGGGGAAGGCCTGGCCGGGGCACCCCAGGATTCAGTCTCTGACTCAGGACTCAGCAGGGGGTGGGTGTGACCAGGGTCTGTCCACAGCAGGACACTGCCAACTCAGGGTGGCACCAAACCCTGTCCCGCTGGGCCCCCGGCATGACACTCTGCCGGAAGGAGGGGGCGGGGTTCAGGATTTGTCCTTCAGGCACACCTGTCCCAGGGACTTGTGGCTTTTACATTGATGGTGGATTTGTTTGGGGAGACTGAGCGGAGCCCTTTGGCGGAGCCCCTTCCTGAGTTGCTCAAGCCCAGGCTGGAGTGGCGGGGGTGGGACAGGGGTCATCCCTTGTCCCCAGGGTTTCTCTGCCGCTGGGATCCGGCCGAGTGGGCGGGGCAGCCCCACCTGCTCTCCCCGCTCAGGTCACTGCCGAGGCAGGAAATGATACTGGCGCACGGCGGGGCATTTGATGATCACTTTTTCCTCGTGCTCATCGGAACCGGCCCTCCTCTGCCTAGAGCAGGAAGTGGCTTGCTTCGGAACACAGCCCCGGCAACAGAGCAGGGTGGGAGTGCAGCCTCCCTAAGCCTCAGCTTTCCCTCCCGTGAAATGGGGACCCAGTCACGCAACCAGCGGAGAACTATCACACACCAAGCTCTTGCTAAGAAATCGATCCAGCCCTCACTGGTGTGGCTCAGTGAGCTGGGTGTCAGCCCTTAGGGTGAAAGGTCACCCATGGGTTGGGTTCCTGCTCAGCGCACGCGCCTGGGTTTCAGGCCAGGTCCCCAGTAGGGGGCACGCGAGAGGCAGCTGGTGGATGTTTATGTCTCACACGTTCCTCTCTCTCGTGGATGTTTCTCTCTCCCTCCCCCTCTCTCTAAAAAGAAATGAATAAACTCTTAAAAAGAGAGAAAGAAAGAAATAGAACCAATCCCTGCCCTCCTGGAGCTTCTTCCCTGGGGGAGACAGACCTGGGACCCATCACTTCACCCACGGCGTGGCCACAGCAGAGCTCAGCGCTGTGGAAGGAGAGCCGGGGGCTGGGAACAAGAGTGGCGGTGGGACCTGGAGGTCCAGGGAGCCCCTCTGCCAAAGGGACTTCTAAGCGGGAGGAGGAGCAGGGATGAACTGGGTGAGCAGCCAGCCAAGCTGGAGGGGAGGCCACAGGAGGCCCAGGGGATTGAGGGGACCGGTGGAGACAATTCGCAAAGGGGGTGCACGGGGCACGCACAGGGTTGAGTGATGAGGAAGAGATCCAGTTCTTCTAGGAGCTGAGAGAAGGCCCTCGGGGCGACAGAATGGGGAGGGGAGAGACTTTGGGAGGTGGGAGGCCATGTGAGAAATCTGGGTTATATTTTCCTTGCTATGGGACAGTGTTGGGGCCCGAGGGGTACTGCCGTGTTATCCCAGGAGCACTGATCTAGTTTGGATGCAATGGAGATGTATTTGGGAGGCAGGATCTAGAAACCCACCAAGCGAAGGGTGCCAGGAGGCAGGTGGCGTGAGTGGCTCTGGTTGGGGCTGGCTGAGCTAGAGATGCCGGTGTCATCCAAGTGGAGACTCCCGGAGACGCAGCCTTGGGGACCTCAGCTCACAGGGGCATTTCAGGCTGTGGGCAAGGACGGTCTTGGCTCAGGAGAGAAGAGGGCCAGGCGGCCCAGGGAAGGCACCGCTCCCAGGTTTGGGACAGGAGGCAGAGTCAGCAGTGACTAGAAGGACAGCTGGAGGGAGCGGAGAGGGGGAAGCCAGGAATGTGATGTGGGAAGAGCCAAGAGGAGTGAGTGTGCACGGGCTTGGGGGGTGGCCAGCCGTGTCCGAGGCTGCTGGCCGTGGGACGGGGGAAAGGACAGCCCTTCTCAGGGGCCGCTCAGGGGACCCAGTGACTCGGAGCAGCGAAAGCAAGCCCCTCGGCCCAGGGCTCAGCACATAGTGAGTGCTCAGTAACTGTTACCTAGTGTCATTGCGAAACTCCTTAAGCTCAGGGGGATCTGGCAGGAGACAGCACCCCCAAGTGGGTGGTGGAGGGGACTAGAGTGGAGAAAGTGCTCGCAAAGGGCTGAGGAGGCCACGGAGGGCAGCGGAGGGAAGCAGAGCCCCCCTGAAGGGACTGGGAGAGGGAGCCGCTGCCCCGCTAACCCGCCCCTGGTGTGCAGACACAGGAGCGAGCTGCGGCCTCCCGCAGAGACCTGCAGCCCGCGGGGCGGGAGCTAGGGCAATAAACCCTGTCCTAGTCTCCTCCTGCCCCGTCGAGCCCCCCAGGGGCTGAACCCAAAGAGAATCCTTCAGGCAGGGCAGCCCGGGTGGGCGCGTGAGCCTCGTGGCCCAGGGCAGGGAGGGCAAGGACGCACCGTGGACCTGCTGCAGGGCAGACTGCGACACCCATGCCCGTGGGAACTCTGGCCTGACCGCCTTTTCTATCCTCATGTCCCAAGTCCCCACGCCCAGTCACCTCTCTTCCTGGACTCTACTGGCACTGGCACGTTTCCATGTCTCCAGCACGTAAGTCCTCCTGACAGTGCCAGGGGACCGTGACCTCTGCGGTCACTCCAGACCATTCCCGCTGCCTGAGGAACCTCCCCACTCCCGTTTCTGTCTGCCCCGGGGCCTCCTCCACCTCGTGCCAGAGTTGCTTTTAAAAACCTAATTCTAAGCCCTGGCTGGCGTAGCTCAGTGGATTGAGTGTGGGCTGCGAACCAAAGTATCGCAGGTTCGATTCCTAGTCAGGGCACATGCCTGGGTTGCAGGCCAGGTCCCCCAGCAACCACACATTGATGTTTCTCTCTCTCTCTCCCTCTTTCTCCCTCCCTTCCCTCTCTAAAAATAAATAAATAAAATCTTAAAAACAAACCTAATTCCAACCACGCTTCTTGCCTGCTTAAAAACCCTCCAGTGGCTCCTCGTTTCTTACCACACCTGCAGTCCTCTGCGCCTCCCAGGTGCTGAGCTCGGGCCTTTGCCTTGGCCGGGGCTCCCTGCCCTGCGGGGCTCCCTGCCCTGCGGGGCTTTTCTGTGCATGTCTCTCTCTCTCCAAGACCGCTGCCCTGGCCCTCTGGGTCACATCACCTGGTTGGTTGCTGCTGCCACTCATCACAACCTGAAACTGCCTTCTTTCTGAGTTGGCTCGCTCATCTCTTGTCCCTCTCGCCGCCCTCCCAGGAAGGCACGAACTCCAGACCCTACCTAGCCCCGGGCTACCCACAGAGGCTGCTGAAGTTTGTTGACCCAATGGATCGAGGCCACAAGAGCACCCAGCATTTTCTGGGTACTTTGTACTGTCACGGCATGTCATCATGCCGGCACCCCGCAGAGGGGGAAACCGAGGCCCTGCACGGTGTAACAGGTAGACTCAGGCCCTCTGGGAATAAGATGCGGGGACTGAACTCAGGTCTGCTGGGCTCAAAACGCACACGGTGCTCCTGGGATGGAGGAACGAGAGGGTCCCACAGATGTCCTGAACATAGGTGGGTGGGGCCCCCAGGGCTGTGAGGGGCTTTGCTGGGACGGCACAGAGAGGAGCCGTGGCGCCCGAGCCCAGGGAATGATCAGACTGCTTAAACGTTAGGGGTGGGCTCCGAGTGCAGAGGGGCCCCTGAGGCCCTGAGCAGGCCAGGGACTTGGCTGAGGTTGTGCAGCTGGTTGGCCGCGGAGCCAGGACTCAGATTCAGACCCAGGCTCCTACACCCAGCTAGGGGGACCGGCGGGACGGTGGGCAGCGGCCTGCACAGTGGGAGCCACGTTTCTGGACGCAGCTCCGTGGTCGTTTTCCGGCGGGACTTCTTCCTGGCTGCGTCCCGTACCTGCCGTGGGAATCAGGAAAATTCTTCAACTTCGGTATGCCTCCCTTTCCTCCTTTGTAAACAGGGAAGAATCACATGAGCTGACATTTAGAAAGTCCGTAGCAGATGCTGGCCATATAGTGAGTACTCAGTGTACCCTAATTCTTTTTATTATTATCAGGTCTGGGAGCCGCGCTGGCCTGGCCGGCCTGGCTGGTGGGAGGAGAGTGGCCGGTGAGAAGGGGCTGACTAGCCCTGGCTGGCGTAGCTCAGTGGATTGAGCTCGGGCTGTGAACCAAAGCATCGCAGGTTCAATTCCCAGTCAGGGCACATGCCTGGGTTGCAGGACACGGCCCCCAGCAACCGCACACTGATGTTTCTCTCTCTCTCTCCCTCCCTTCCCTCTCTAAAAATAAATAAATAAAATAAAATAAAAAAAAAGAAGGAAAGGGAGCTGCCTGTTGTCAGACTCTGTGCCTCCTCTCTGGGTTCTGAATGTCTTCGGGAAGCTTCTAGGCTCTGCGGGTGGATGGGTCGGGGCTGCACAGCAGTTCTAAAGATGAGGGTTGGCCCTGGCCCAGTGGCTCAGTTGGTGGGAGCGTCGTTCTGAACACCCAAAGGTTGCGGGTTCAATGCCTGGTCAGGGCACATGCCTAGGTTGAGGGTTTGATTCCCTGGTCAGGGTGCAGATGGGGAGCAACCGATTGATATTTCTCTCTGTCCCTCTGTTTCTCTCCCTTCCTCTCTCTCTGAAATCAATAAGCATAGTCTTGGGTGAGGATTTAAAAAAAAGATGAGGGTTGGAAGTTTTAGGGGCCTGGAGAGGGCAATTCTCCCCTAAAGCATCTCTCTCCAACGACACTTTACGGAAAGTGGCCATCACCGAGTCCCTCTGATGTGTCATCCACTGTGATGAAGGGCTCTGAGAGACGGGATTGGAAAATGAAATGACCCTGTCCCCACTCCTGGTAAACCAGAGAGGGCCTTCAGCCCCGCTGCTCTTCCCCTCCTTTCAAGCAGAGCAAGTCCACTGGTGAGAGTGAGGCCACAGCTGCGTGCGGCCTGGGCGGAGCCGCAGCCCTGCCACGTCCCCAAGGGTGACCGTGGGTAAGTCCCTTCCCCAGTCCCAGCCTCAGCCCCCCTCATCTGCAAATTGGGGGTGATGACGAGCCCTAACTCACGGCATTGTCCTGAGGATTAAATGAGAAAATTCATGAAAACCTCTTAGTACAGTGCCCAGCCCAAAGAAAACGTACACCGAAAGTTGAGCATTATTATTTTCATCACTGTCCCCTGGGCTTTTTCTGTTTCACAGAAATGTCACGGTAATTCACATTGCAGTAAAAATGGAGAGGAAAGCCGACCCCTTTTCAGAGCCTGTGAGTGTGAAAATACAGTAATGTAACTTATGATTTTCAGACCTGTAGCTATGTGGCAAAAGCCACTTGTTGCCATTTGAAGTTGACCCCCAAATGAGGCAGTGGGGGTATAATTGAACTGTCTGTGAAAATGCCACCACTGTATGCACGATCACTCAGGAATGGGACTGACTACTGCCACGTCAACAGTGCCTCCGGTACTGGGCTGGCGCCTCAGAGGGCGTGCTAAATTCTTTGGTGAGGGAACGGGATGAAAGAGCCCAAATCCGCTGCTCCCGAGACAACTGGCCTGCCCACCACGACGGCTGTAAAGTGGCTTTTCCACCGGCATCTCCGGGACCTTCCCTGTGTTCTCCCCTGTCAAGGACTGGGAGGGGCTCAGAGGCACGGAGTCCTGTACTCTGCGCCCACTCAGTGATGGCGGACATGCGGCCACACCCGGAGCAAGGATGGGTCCGGGCAGCAGTGGAAACAGTCTGGACAGCGTGGGCTTGAGTGACAGCCTGATCCCTGTTGCTTCCGTCAGGGTAGGGCCCCGAGTGCTGGCACAGTGCTCTAGATAGTTTGATCGGCCCCGACTGGTTTCCACAGTGAATTGAAAACACCACCATGCAAAGCCCTCCGCTGGGCGGTGGGGTTGCAGCTGACATTATTTATTCCACATTTGGGACTCCTTGACTCAGCAGCCACAGCCACACTGTTTTCCAGCGGGAGCTGCCCTGCTCCGCAGGCGTCACTGGTCCCGGTCTGCAGATGAGGACTCAAGACCAGAGAGGCGAGGTAAAGGACTCCAGGTGACGCAGCCTGTGAGCAGCAGATCCAGGATCAAACCTGAGCCCACCTGACTCCAAGCCTGTGCCCTGTCCAATCTCTTGTGGAGCCTGACGCAGGCAGGGGCCCTGAGCGGAGGAAAGCAGTCCCCTTGAGGAGTGGGAGGGGAAGAATGTAGGGAGAGCGGGAGAAGACGAGGGCGCCAAGGGCCAGATCGGTAGGGCCCTGGAGACCACAGCGAGGACTTCGGGTGTTCATCTAAATGAGATGGGAAGACGCCAGAGGCTTTTAAGCAAAAGAGTGACATGATCTGATTTAGATTTTGAAAGAATGACTCAGTTTCCTGCTCTGTGAAATGGGGATAGCAGTGGTTCCTGCTCCAGAAGGTCGTCAGGAGAAAATGCAAGGGATTAAATGGGAGGGTGAGTGGAAGGGTCTTAGTTGGTGCCAGGAAGAATAGACCATTGAAGAGATATTGGCCACGAGGATGACAGGAAGGGTGGATTGAAGAGTCCAGCGTGGGGCTGGGAGCCCAAGACCGTAAGGACCGGGAAGGTTTGTGCGCACGGGCTCGAGTCCTAGAAGCCCTGCAGTCAGCTTGGCAGAACTGACCTGGAGTCAGGCCCCACGTCAGCTCTGCTGCTGCCCGAGAGCCTGCTGGGAGGTGGTGAGAGTGAAGAGGAGCACAGGGTTCTCCAAGAGAGCAAGAGGCAGCGAGGGTCTGAAAATGGCAGGTCCGAAGACTCTCCATGGAGGAGGAAGACGGGACTGGGAGGAGGGCGCTCAGTCCGCAGGTACTGTTGCTGAAGCGCGTGCTGTCTAACCAAAGGAGGAGGTTGCTGTTGAGATGATGGGGTCTGAGCCCCAGTGGACAGTCTCGGGGCAGGGGAGGACGCACATCCGGAGACCGCAGCCTGCCCCATCTGGCTTCTCCAAACCTTCTCCAATAAGGGAGAGGACGTGTATGGGAAAGAACACAGAAGAGGAGCCCTGGCTGGTGCAGATCAGTGGACTGAGTGCCAGCCTGCGAACCAAAGGATCACTGGTTGAATTCCCACTCAGGGCATACGCCTGGGTTCCAGGCCAGGTCCCCAGTAGGGGGCGCTCAAGAGGCAGTTACGCATTGATGTTTTTCTCTTCCTCTCTCCCTCCCTTCCCGTCTCTAAAAATAAATAAAATCTTAAAAAAAAAAGAAGAAGACGAGAAGAGGTAAAAAATCACCAAGACCAATGTTAGGGAGCATTAGTAATTTTAATAGCATCTCACCCAAGGAGACCATAACAGCCACCGGCTTGTGTAAGACGCCCTTCATTACCACCCACTCTCCAGCAAGCATTACTCCGCGGTGGCTGCTACCTGAAAAACGGGCTGTACTTCAGAAAAGTTGGGAGCTGTCTTTGTATCGGTCCCAGGCCTTAGGATAGGTAGGAGCTGGAGAGACCGGGACACCAAACATACAAATAGGCTGAAAGGTATAGAAAGCGAGAATGTTCTCTGCCTGACCTGCCTTGCAGGTTGAAGTGAGAAGTACTGAGGCCTGAAAAGGCTCCTTGCGCGATCAAGAGGCCGTTTGTTATTAGCAAGGGTGTTATTGTGATGACGCCAGTGCCCCGCCTGTCAATGGACCGGCCGGCGCGGAAAGGGAAAGCCCAGGATAGGCGGAGGCCAGCGGGGACTCCTCGAGCCAAGAGGTTCCCTCCGTCCGCGGCGGACAGAAAGGGCGACTGCGCAGCCACTTCCCGGTCCCGTGACCTGAGAGGAGTTACCGCGGAGAAGAGGCTCCCGAGCCCCACTCTCGCTGATCCCAAGTTTTCCTCTGCTGAGTTCCCGCTGGGCGGCGCGAACTGCGCAGGTCCAAGTCTGCAGCAGACACGCCCCACTGCGGGCGCAGGGACTTCCGAGGGGCGCTCTTGCGTCATTTCCGCCCTCGTTCTTTGCCCAACGTGGAGGGGGAGGAGCCGGAGAAAGGCGCTCTGTCTGTACGTCACTTCCGTTGAGCCTAGCGGCGACAACGGCAACATGGCTCTGAATGGCGCTGGTGAGGATCTGAGCTGCGGGGTTCTGCGGTCGCGGGGTGCGGGAGGTAGCCTGCTTCCACACGAGACCCAGGTCCAGCCCTGGCTGGCGTGGCTCAGTGGGTTGGGCGCCGGCCTGTGAACAGAAAGGTTGCTGGTTCCATTCCCAGTCAGGGCACATGCCTGGGTTGCGGGCCAGGTCCCTGGTTGGGGACCTGCGAGAGACAGCCAACTGATGCTTCTCTCTCACATCGATGTATCTCTCCCTCTCCTTCCCTTCCCCTCTCTCCGGAAATAAATAAATAAAACCTCTTGAAAAGAAACCCAAATCCCTTGTGCCTTTCTTTCCCCAGAAGTCGACGATTTCCCCTGGGAGCCTCCGACCGAAGCGGAAACGAAGGTTCTGCAAGCGCGACGCGAGCGACAGGATCGCATCTCCGCGCTCATGGGCGACTACCTGCTGCGTGGCTACCGCATGCTGGGCGAGACGTGCACGGACTGTGGGGTGAGGACACACTCGGGGTGGGGCCACATACCAGGCTGCTCGGCGCTTCCCCAGACTCTTTCTGGACCTCTTTGCCCAGCGTCTCACCCCTGCCCCTTGTGCTCTCTGGCCCTAGACGATCCTCCTCCAAAACAAGCAGCGGCAGGTGTACTGCGTGGCCTGTCAGGAGCTCGACTCAGACGTGGATAAAGATAATCCGGGTGAGGGGCTGCGTGTATTTGGTGGAGAGACGTGGTGACCGCCTTGGGGACAGTAGGCCTGGGAGGTGACAGTGGCTTCCTTGAGTGGGTCGGAGGTAAGGTGCTTTCTCCTTTTAGCTCTATAGAGGAGCATGCATTCAGCAAGAGCAGTGAGTGCCTCCTGTGTGCCCGGCACTAGGGAGATCCCCAGCTCAATCAGGCAGAGTCCTGTTGGAAGAGATGAATGGAGGGCAGAAATAAATCTGCTACAAAGAAGAAACTGAATGAGTTGCCTTGTAGAGTGACAGGGAAAACATGTGGAGCACAGAAAGAGCAGAGCAGTAGAGAGGAAGGAGAGGTGGCCCAGGGCTGAGGGAGGGCTCAGGCGTCCTGACCATTCCCCCCGATTTCTCCTCTTTTAGCTCTGAATGCCCAGGCCGCCCTCTCCCAAGCTCGGGAGCACCAACTCGCCTCTTCCTTGGAGCTCCCCGCAGGCTCTCGGCCCACCCCTCAGCCCCCAGTACCCCGTCCAGAGCACTGTGAGGGAGCTGCAGCGGGGCTGAAGGCAGCCCAGGGGTCGGCCCCTCCTGCTGCGCCTCCAAACGCAGATGTCGTGGCCAGCACGCAGGAGGCCGTCCTGCAGAAGCTGACCTGGGCCTCCGCCGAACTGGGCCCTAGCGCCTCCCTGGAGACTAGCATCCAGCTCTGCAGCCTCATCCGGGCTTGTGCCGAGGCCCTGCACAGCCTGCAGCAGCTGCAGCACTAAGAGCCCCTCCCCGCCAACCCCCCCCCAGAAAAACCCTCTAGAAAAACAGCCGTTCCTCTTGTGTTGTTTGTTCTTTTCATGGTTCCGAGTGTGCATGCCAGCCCAGCTCCACTCGCCTATTGCCTGCTTGTGGTCTCACCCTGATCTTGACGCTCCGAGACGGGAGTTGGGCTTGTTCCGCTCAGTTTCCCCACTCGGAGGATGACGGGGAGGGAGAGGACTATGTGATAGTTGCCCCTCGAAGGCAGGAACGAGAGGGATGGGCCTCTGCGGCACCTCTGTAGCCCCCTGAGCCATCCAGGGCTCGTTCCCCACCCTTGAGTGAGATTGGAATCCAGGCCGCTTGGTTGCTTCTTCCCCGAAGCATCCTGGGACCACCAGCCTTTCCCACCTCCTGCCCAGCCCAGGGACTCAGGCACTGACGGGGCGTCGTCAGGTTGCACAGTAGGAACCAAGTATCCTCATCCCCGACTTTAGGTCCTTTACCTTGGGAGTTGCAGCTGGACAGAATAATGAAACACAGTGTTGGGGGGGGGGAGCATAAAGAGCTGTGAAGGAACCGTGCCCGCCGCTTGTGGTGTCTTCCCTCTCCTCTTTCTGTCTCCTGTGTCCAATCCCTTTACTCAGCTTTCCACGATCCCGAGCGACTTGAGCCCATGGCCGTGGCCCTTTTAAGAGAGGCCCCGCCCATGCGGAGGGGTTGGGCCAGGGGCGGAGTCGGAGGCGGCGAGGAAGGAACAAAGCCCGGCCTGCGGGCCGCAGCTGGGCTCGGTCGGTGGGACCCTGGGAGTGCGGGGCCTGCGGGCGGCAACCCAGGCAAAGCATTGGAGAGAAAGGCTCCGACGTCGTCCGCGCCGGCCGGGTCATGAATGGGCTGCCCCCGGCCGAAGCGCCAGGCGGCGCGGGCTGCGCCCTGACCGGACTCCCGCCGCTACCGCGCGGCCTCAGCGGTCTCCTTAATGCGAGTGGGGGCTCGTGGCGGGAGCTGGAGCGCGTCTACAGCCAACGCAACCGCATCCACGATGAGCTGAGCCGTGCGGCCCGCGTTCCTGAAGGGACCCGTGGCGCCACAGGCGCCGCTAATGCCGGACCTGCAGCCGGTCCCCTCGGGCCGCGTCGCCCTGTCAACCTCGACTCGGCGTTAGCTGCGCTGCGCAAGGAGATGGTGAGTAGCTGGGACCCGGGCCAAGGGGTTAGGTGGTGGGTGCTGCTGCCGAACAGGGGAGTCCCGAGGTGGGGCGGAGCGCAGAGGCACAGAACCAGGAACGCCTGGGTCTCGGGACAGGTAGAAGCCCGGCGGACAGTTGAGAGGATATGGTGACAGTAATTACATCTACCGTTTACGGCAATAGTTACCATGTATTTTTAAGTGCTTTAATCGTCTTACTTCACCCTGCTAGATGAGCGTTACCTCCTTTCAACAGCTGAGGGCCAGTGACTTGCCTAAAGATTCACCGCATGCAGGTGGCATCTGTGTCCCCCAAAACTTAGAAAGTGGAAAGATTGGCTAGGGCTGTGGTCCGAGCCGAGGGTGGCCTGGTCCCCAACCCCAGCCCACTCTGAGTCTGTTGCAGGTGGGGTTGCGGCAGCTGGACATGTCCCTGCTGTGCCAGCTGTGGGGCCTGTATGAGTCAATCCAGGACTACAAGCACCTGTGCCAAGACCTGAGCCTGTGCCAGGACCTGTCGTCCTCGCTGCACTCGGACAGCTCCTACCCTCCCGACGCTGGCCTGTCTGACGACGATGACCCTCCCGATGCCAGCCTGCCCCCGGACCCACCACCCCTCACTGTGCCCCAGACGCACAATGCCCGCGACCAGTGGCTGCAAGACGCCTTCCATATCAACCTCTGAAGAACTAGGGGTGGGTGGGGGGCACGTACCACGTACCCATGCGAAAGGCTCAGAAGCTCAGCCCTGAGCAGGTGCACAGAGCAGAGTGCCTGCTTCTCCCTGTACCGTCTCGCCCGCAGGAGGGCGAGGCCTGGGCGGCGCTTAGAGGCACAGCTGCCAACCCCCTCTCCTGTCTCGGGTTTGCTGGCACTAGGGCAGGCACCTGGGCTACAGCCTTTGCCCTTGGCACTGGACCTCCAGTTTTTCCACGTGTGCCCCCCACCGTGGCTAACCTGTAAGCTGGCGGTGGGGCCCGAAGCATCTTGCGTTCCCCTTGGCGGCTCTGGGATTGGGATGAGTGCCTGGCTGCCATGCCCTTTTCACCTCTTGCTGCTCTTGGCAGCCGCTGGCTCAGGGGCATTCTGCTTCCATTCCCCTAGACAAGGGCTCCAGGACCCATTTTTGCACCCACCCACAGCCGAGAGGGCCAAGGCTCCGCGCTGGATATTTAAGTTCAGGAGCCAGACTCTTGGGCGCATATATAAATAAACACCCTCAGCGTGCCAGTGTTCTGACTGCTTGGCTCTGGGGCGGGAACACGGTGTTTTTGGCAAGTGCGGTCCCGCGCCTCGCCGGCAGGTGGCGCCAAGGCTCTGCCAAAAAAGGCTTGGCGGTGGCGGGTGGTGAATCCCCCTTTTCCCCTGGCCGGGTTGCGGAGCAATCCCAGCTGGCCCGACTCGGTGCCGCGGTTGTGTGGCTGTAGGCGAGTCACTTCCCCTCTCTGGCCGGAGGCCGGAGCCCAACCTCCTTCCCCACTTCACTCGCTCTGGCCCTTCCTGGCCAGCGGGAAAGGAAGGAGAAGGAGCCGCCCAACTTGAGGAGAGAAACTTTCCAGTCGGGGAGGAGTTGGGGCCGCACAGGAAATGGGTGGGCCCGAGCCTGCAGGCCTAGGGGCCCCTCAGCGGGAGAGGGGAAGGCGCCTCCGGGAAGGGCCCGGGAGCCAGTGAGTGCCCCATGGGTGGGAGGGAGGCGCTGCGGAGGCAGAAGGGTGTGAGGTCGGCGGTCCGCCAGACCTCCCAGAGGCCAGGCAAGCCCTGGAGGAGAGGTGGGGGCAGGGCCCCAGGCTTTGGTGCATAAGACAGGGGCGGCGACCCCAACCTCCCCCACGCCTCAGTCTCCAACGGACTGCCTGGCCCTGCCCCACCGCACTCGGGAGCTTGAGAGGAAAGTCTCTTACAGAGAAAACGGAGGACCTCACTGCTGAGACTGGGAGCCAAACCCAGATGTCCGGCCCTGAGGAGGAAAGCTGCCCCTTTGCGGACAGCTGGTGCTCATTCCTCAACGCCCACACAGAAACACCCCGCAAACTTCTGAGACCAGGAGGAGACGGCCTCGAAGTTGCACACTTAGGTTTTCGGGTGGCTCGGGCCCATGCCCTGCCACGCAGTGACTTGCCTCCTGCCGACCATTCAGCCAGTGTTCCTGGCAGAGGAGACACCCTGCTTAAACCGACTGTTTATCAAGCACCAGGCTTCGGTCCCTCCGCAAACCTGGCAGAGCTCTGGTGCTCTCTGGGCCTGACCCCTGCAATTCATTAGCAGGCGGGGCAGCCTGTAATCTAGGTGTAAACAGAACTGCTAATGCCCCAGGCATACTTTCCAGGGGAGGGAAACACACACACAACACTGCCCCCGAGATAACGGATTCCACTAAATGAAGCCTCGAAAAATCAGTGGGCTCTGTGCTAGATGTAAGGTTTCTAGGTATAAATACAAATTCCCAAGGTTTCATGCTGTCAATTACTCTGTAAAAGGCAGAACTATAATTATCCCCATTTAACGGAGGTAGAAACTGAGCGTCAGCATGACAGCGCTTTGCCCAAGGTCACGCACTTTTTGGAAGTCAGGATTTGAACCTCCAGCTGCTTGTGAGATGTTGGGAGTGTGTTCCCACTCGAAGCTGGGGAGTCGGGTTCTGAGACAGAACACAGGGTGCTGTCCACAGGCAGAGTCACCCAGGTTGGCGCTGGACTCTGTTCCCTCCTGCTTTGGGTAAGAAGTGGGGGGGCGGGGCAAGCAGGAGTCTGCCACCCCAGTGTTGGGGACGGCGCTCTGGCTCAGACCGGCACTGTGACCTGAGCAAGTCTCTTCCCTTTCCTGGGTCCCTGTTTCCCAGTTTGTAAAACGGAGCCACCAGGACGTACCCCACAGGGCTGAGGGCAGGAAGGGAGGCGGCCCCAGCCGCGCTAGTGAGGGCGGCACCAAGCTGCTGGTGGCCCGCTCCCCGGCACAGGGCATGCAACGAGCGGGCGCTGCGGTTCTGGCGTCCCGCCCCCCCCCCCCGCAACCTCTCGGTCGGTCGCAAAGGCCCCGGAAGCCTGGCTGCCCCGCCCACGTGCCCGCGGGAGCCCCGCCCGCCTTCCGACGGGGGTGCGGCTCCAGGAAACCGCGCGCTCCCTGTTCAGTGCCACGGCGACCCGACGCGCCCGGACGACCCCGACGACTCAGCCAGACCACCAGGCAGGCCCCAGAGGCAGCGGCGGGGACAGCAGCTCCGCGTCCGAGCCTCGGACACCATCGCACAGACGGGGCGGGCTGCACGGCTCGGAGCCTGGGAGGCCATGGGGACCTGGGCGGGGCCAGCAGTCGCGGGCCAGCGGGAGCCCCGGGTCTGAAGAGCGGTAGGGCTGCGGGACGGCAGGGGCCATGACCACGGTGTGGAAGCGCCTGCAGCGCGTAGGCAAGCGGGCGGCCAAGTTCCAGTTCGTGGCCTGTTACCACGAGCTGGTGGTGGAGTGCACCAAGAAATGGTGAGTGGAAGGAGGCTCCGGGAACCCCCAGACTGGCTGAAACCCCATCAGGCCTTTGGAGCCTGGGAGAAACCTGTCCCCAGCCCAATGGCTAAAGTGGCCCCTATCCCAGCTTGGGCCCTCCTGTCCCAGGCACGGAGACCCCAAAGGGGACCTCGCAACTTGTGAGCCCCCTAGAATTGGGGGTTGTGGAAGCTTTGGGGGAGTGGGGTCAGGACTTCCGGGCCTGAGAATCTGTCTACCCACACTTCCCTCGGCTGTGCGCGGGGCTGAGGGGAAGGAAGGCCTCATGTTTTCGTCCAGAGGCATGATTCAGGGTGGCGTGGGGAAAGGGAGAAAGTTCTGAGGTGTGCTGGCAGCCAGGCTGGGGCAGAAACTTTCGTGGACCTCACGAAAGCCCAGAACAAGGATGCTGCGGCCCCCCCTCCCCCACCCACGTGTTGAGCCAGAGGACACCCACCTCCTTCAGCCAGACCGGGCTCTGGGAGGCTGGATCCGTCTCCACAATGTCCTTAAAAGGGGAAACTGAGCACTGGGAGGGATGAGGAGGGAGACAGGAGTGTCTTAAAGGGGCCCGAGGGCCTAGGAGGTTGTGGGCCTGGGAAGAGAGGACTGGGGAGGGCAAGGTGGGGTGGGGGGTGCAGGGCCTGGCCTGGGCTGCCACAGGGCCCAGGGGCATCTCATTCTCGTGTCCCCACCGCAGCTGCCTAGGCCCCTGCGTCACACCCTAAATATATGTGCTCACTGGTGTCAGCTTCCCTTGGCTGGATTAGGGCACAGCTGTGGGGATCTTATCCGCCAGGCGGGGATAAATTTAGGCTCCCAAGAGAAAGGGCTGCTGGGGCAGGAAGGGACCTTGGGTCCAATGGGAGGGGAGTGAAAGGAGGCTGGGGTCCCTTGGGGAGCTGCCGCATTCCTGGTCTTGACTCGGACAGCCGGAGGGCCGATCAATCCTTTAGGTGGGCCCAGAGAGTGCAGGAGTTGGCTGGGGTAACACAGCACAGGGCTGATACTTGAACTCTGGCCTCTGGCTTCTACCTTCTATCCCAGCACCCCGGGTAGGGTCGGTGGATGCTGGGCATGGTCCTGGAGAACAGGCCAAGGGTGTGGGCATTGTCAACGCGTGTGAGTCACAAGAGACAGTCAGGGCTTCCTGGGCTTCTGAGCCTGGAGCGCAGGTTAAGAAGCTGCCCCTGCCTAGGTCGCCGCTTCCCAGGAGGGCGTGCCCAGCCTGAGTCAGGCTGCTTGGCCAGGCTCCGCCCCCCTAGGCACCCCTTGCCACTTCCCCTTTCTGGGAAGGCCCCATGGATACCCTTGCTCAGCCATTGCCTGCAGTTTGGGGCCGGGGCAGGAGCCTGGCTCCAGGCCAGAGGCCCCTAGGGTCAGCTGTGTGACCTTGCCTGGCCCCCAGTCTCTCCCGAGGCTCAGCATCCTCAGGAGTTGACAGAGAGCCATTTATCTCGGCTCAGACCCCAGAGGGGCAGGGAAGTGGGTGAAGCCAAGAGTCCTGGTGTGGGACGGGGTACAAGCAAGGAGGGCTCTTGGGCTGCCCTCAGCCATACCCACCCCCCTGGGCAGCAGCAGTGGGACATTATGAGCCAAAGAGACCCTCTCCCTCCGAGGCCTAGCCACGTGTCAGCTGTGTCTGGGACTGGGCCCTGCACAGGCGACCTTCCTCCCTCTGTCTGTCCCCTCACAGCTCCGCCTCTCTTCTGACTGCCCCAGCGCACGCTGTGCAGCTTAGATACAACCTGGGCGTCTTCCTTGATGCCCCTGTCGGGAGCCAGTGTGCCTGCAAAGCTAGTCCAGGGCTCCGGGTTTGAGAGGTGGGAGCGTGGCTGGCTCTCCGGGGCCCTGGGCCCAGCAAAGGACTGGGCTTGGAAGACCCTGGGAGGGTGTCTGCCTCTCTGGCCACCTCCCACCCTCTGACCCCACTTTGACCCCGGGACTCCCACCAACCTGGGACCTCGCACTTACCGTTCCTCCTACCTGGAGACCCCTCCAGACCCTCACACAGCCCATCCCTCCCTGCTGCAGGCCTCCGCTCCCACAGCCAACCTCCAGGAGGCCCTAGCAGCTCTCTCCCGTCTCCCTGAAGCCAGCTTGTCCATTCCTTTTTCTCCTTGATCGGCGCTCTTTCCCTGCCCCTGCTGCTGCCCTCAGCCCCGGAAGGGTCTCGCCTCTGCCTGGCTCTGCCCTGCCCCCACACGAGACTGGGCATGTGGCATGCAGTCCGCAGACAGCTGTGACCCAATGGACGTCTCCTGCCCTGCGCTGTGGCTCTCGCAGGGCCCTTGCTGTCTTTCTCTGTGTCTCTCTGTCTCTGCGTGCTCGTCTCTCGGCACATCTCTTTCTCCCTGTCTGTCTTCATAACCCCCGCCGACCCACACTGGGCCTTTGCCCTTCTGCTCCGGCCGCACCCTGCCTCTGCAGCCCCGCCCTGCTCCCCGTGGCTCCAGATAAGGGGTTGTCCGTTCCCTCTCCTGGGGGAGGGGGTTGGGGGCAGAGGGGAGACGCTGGAGATGGAGAGGCTGGGCAGCCTGACTGAGCAGTCCCCTCTCCCCCCACCCCCAACCCAGGCAGCCGGATAAGTTGACGGTGGTGTGGACCCGGCGGAACCGACGCATCTGCTCCAAGGTGGGGTAGATGTGAACTAGGGCAGGGCCGGGGAGGGCGGCCGGGGAAAGCGGGGGAGGGCTAGTAGGGTCACGGAGTCAGGTTCAGATCAGAATCCACAGGATGGAGAGAAAGGTGCGGTCAAGGTTGGAGACAGGGGCGGAGGGGGAGGGGAGAGTTAGGATTGGAGGGATTCAGGCGGCTCCTTGCAGGCCCACAGCTGGCAGCCGGGCATCCAGAACCCGTACCGGGGCACCGTGGTGTGGATGGTACCTGAGAACGTGGACATCTCCGTGACCCTGTACAGGGTGAGTCTCTAGCCACGCCGCCCCCCCCCCCACACACACAGAAGGGAGAGGGCTGGCAAATACAGCCCCAGGAAACCGCAGTGGTCCCCCGGTGGGCTGTCAGTCCAGCCAGGAAAGCACAGAGCGGTGAACGGAGCATCACATCAGGGGCCTCCTCAGCGTGAGTGGCCCAGAGGTCTCCTCAGAGGTCGCATTTGCCGGCCACGTGCAGTGGGAGTGACAGCTGGGACCGGAGAAGCTGGGGAGGGTCCCAGGCAGGAGGGACCGGCGTGTGCAAAGGCCCCAACCAAGCTCCTCCTGTCCCCGCACTGCCCCTGCCCCAGCAGCCCCCGTACTCACCAGTGACCCCTGTTCCCAGGACCCCCACGTGGACCAGTATGAAGCCAAAGAGTGGACATTTGTTATTGAGAATGTGAGTGGCCGGGGCGGTCTGGGGTCTGGAGCCTCAGAGACTCTGGGACGGCACTGGCGCTCATTCTCCCGGCCTCTGCCTCTCCCCGCACACACAGGAGTCCAAAGGGCAGCGGAAGGTGCTGGCCTCTGCCGAGGTGGACCTGGCCCGCCACGCAGGGCCCGTGCCTGTCCAGGTTCCGCTGCGGCTGCGGATGAAGGCCAAGTCGGTGAAGGTGGTGCACGCAGAGCTGAGCCTCACCCTCTCGGGGGTGCTGGTGCGCGAGGGCCGTGCCACGTGAGTGCCTGCCCGCCCACCCTCCCGGGCCCTGGTCTGCAACCTTTGACCCCAGCCCTCACCCGGCCATCTGGCCCCCCAGGGACGACGACATGCAGAGTCTCGCGAGCCTCATGAGCGTGAAGCCCGTTGACGTGGGCAACCTGGACGACTTTGCTGAGAGCGACGAGGAGGAGGCTAGCGTTCCGGGGGCCCTCGAGGCACGGGCCCGTGCCCCCCAGCCAGGTGGGCTCACAGCCTGCAGGGGACTGAGACCTCCAAAACCCAGGGAGGTTGGGGGCGGGGGGCACTGTAGAAGCCACTTGCTGCGTCGGGGGCGGGGCCAGCTTACGCATGCCCAGCGATGGGAGCTCTCCCTTGCCCAGCCTCCCCTGCAGCCCTAGCCATGCTGACCCGGCCCCTGGTCCCGCCGCAGCCCGGGGCCGCAGCCAAGCCCCACAGGATGCATTCCCGGGCCCCTCGTGTCCCTCTCCTCTCCCCGGAGTGGGGGCCTGCCCAGCTCAGTGTCTGCCCCAGACGGCGGCACCAAAAGTGCACAGAGGGGCCGAGGTGCAGTCCCGCCACCTCCGCCGCCCCCGCTCCGCCCAGTCACTAGTTTCCTCATCCCACCCCTCAGCTCCTTAAGGCTTTTGTTCTGTCTCTCCTTCTGGTCCTCTCTTCTTCTCTGCATTCGTGGGCCTGTCTCTTCTCGCAGGCCGGGGCGGTGCCCTGAGGCCGGGGCTGTTCCCAGGTAGGCCCAGTGCTCTAGGTGGAGGGAGGGGGTCAGACCCGCAGGGCTCTGTCCTGGGCTCACCTGTCCCCCCAAACCCTTCTGCAGATCCCTCTCGGGAGCTGAAGACACTTCGTGAGGAGGACGAGGGCCGAGTAAGTCGGCCCCAGCAGGCAGGTGAGGCCCAGGCTGGGGTTGGGTGGGGGCTGGCTGTCCAGTCGCAGAGCGCGAGCCTCAGTGCCTACCCCTCCTCCCTCCCCAGCTGCCAGCCCTGCCAGTGCTGAGGATGCCAGACCAGCCCCTGTGAGTGCCCCTGCGCCCCCAGTCAGGGCCTCCCGGGGCCAGGGGTCGGCACCCGCTACTGTAGCTGGGGGCCAGGTGGGGCCTGAAGCCCCAAGGCCCCCTGGAACCCCGCTGGAGATAAGGTGAGCTTTGGGGCCAGCCCCACGCCCCCTGCCCTGCGCACGCTGGGAAGCTGCAGACCCCCTCCCAGCCTGCCTTTCCAGCGCCCCAGCACCAGAAGGGTGGGGGTTGGGCTGAGAGTGGGGGGACAGATGGCTCCCCCAACACCTCCTGCTGCTCTCTCCTCAGGTCCTCAGAACACCCAGGCCAGGATGTGGCCCCCGTCCCGGCCCCTCGGCTCCGGAAAGGCTCTGATGCCCCCTGGCCCTCAGTGCCCCCAGGGAAGGAGGAGGCCCCCAAAGCCTCAGGGGCTCCCCAAGCAGGAGCAGGTTCTGCTGGGGAGGCCCAGGCCCAGGCAAGCCCTCAGGAAGGAACAGAGGCCCGGGGTGCCAGGCCAAGCCCAGGCACTGAGGACAGAGGCTGCAGAGACGCTTTGGGGGGACAGAAGGCCGAGGTTGAGGAAGGCACCATTGGGAACAGGACAGAGGCCAATGGGGTGGACACTGAGCAGGCGTCAGGAGTCAGAGGAGTGACCACTCAGAGGTCAGAGGTCAGAGCTGGGGAGGCTGAACAAAATTCAGAAGTTGCTCGAGTGGATGCTGAGCAGAGGTCAAAGGTGAGACCTGTGGACACTACGGGACCAGAGGCTCCAGGGGTGACGTCTGAGGCAGGATTCCAGGGAGCTCCTGAGGCCCCTCCGGGGGGCTCTCAGGAGAGCGCAGGGGTCAGGCCCGGGGACGAGGCTCCTGCTATGCAGAGCTCACCCCCAGCAGAGCCTGCAGGGCATTGTGGGCATTTCAGCAACTCCCAGGGGGCCAGGGCTGCAGCAGGCCAGGAGAGAGAGGGCGCAGAGGTGAGGGGTGGGGCCTCTGGTGTCAGAGGGGCAGGCCTGGAGCAGGGCCCCTCTGTTGAAGTAGCAAGCACCGGGCCCCAGGTGAGCAGGTACCAGAAAGCTCCACCCACAGCAGACCAGGCGGCGATGTCTAGGGATCTGGGGCTCCGGGAGGCAGGAACTGGGGACTTGAGGGTTCTGGGAACAGAGACGAGAGTGGCAGAGTCAGAAGTCTGGGGGACCCAGGAGACAGAAACAGAGGGATCAGGGTTCCCAAAGGGAGAGAGTGGAGCAGGACAAGCTGAAATAGTTGAGGCCCACGAGGCAGAGGCAGCGAGGTCGGGGCTCCTGGAAGCAGAAGCTGCTGGGGTGGCAGAGCCTGAGAAACCAGAGACCCAGAAGTCGGAGGCCGGGGCTTCAGGAGTTCTGGAGACAGAGTCTAGGGTGGCAGAGGCTGAGACACTGGGGACCCCGGAGATAAAGGGGGCTCCAGGGGCACTGAGGATGGAAGCCGAGGTAGCAGAACCTGTCATACTGGGAGCCCAGGAGACAGAGGTGGGGGGTTCCAGGGTCTTAGCAATAAAGTCTGAGATATCAGGGACCCGAGAAGCAGAGTTAGGGGGTTCCGAGGTTCCAGGGTTCGAGTCTGAGGCAGCAGAGGCGGAGACATCGGAGACCCGGGAGGGAACAGCGGAGGACGGTCCAGGGGGCCCAGGGATGCAGACTGTGACGGCAGGGGCCCAGGAGACAGAGGGGGACCATTCAGCGGTCTTGGGGCTGGAGGCTGAGATGGCAGAGGCTGAGCGACTGGGGATTCAACAGACAGGAACTGCAATTTTGGAGGCTGAGAAGGCTAAGATCTCAGGGGTCCCAGAGGCAGAGACTGGGCTCAGCCTCGCAAAGGAGGCATTCGAGGCGCGAGTTACTGAGCATGGAGTTTTAGGATCCCAGGGAACAGAGACAGACACTTCTGTTTTGAGGGTGCAGGAGGTGGAAGCTGAGGCTCTGGGCATGTCAGAGGCCAAGTCTGGGGTTTGGGGGGCCCGTGAGGCAGCGATGGAGGGCTTAGGCCTTCCAGAGAACCAATCTGGTGTTTTTGAGGCCCAGGGAGCAGAGGCCGGGGTCTTGGGAACCCAGAAGGGGGAAGAAGCGGAGGCCCGCCTGACTGAGGCGCAGGCGGCCAGTGGGGCAGGGGCTGGGGTGCCCGGGCCCTCAGGGGCCTCTCCCCCAGAGGAGCCTGAAGAGGACAGGAGGCTGCCGGGCAGCCAGGTAGGGATGGGGGCCGCCGAGGGCCCAGTCTTCTGCTTCCCGCTAACCTGGGGCTGAGCTAACGGCGGCTCTGCATGGACCCACCTGGTCGACCGGGGTGGGGTGGGACAGGGGCTCGGCTTCGAGGAGCCCCCTCACCCCTTCCCCTCAGGATGTCCCGGCTCCCCCACCCTGTCTTCCCTGGGCTGCATGGAGTGGGGCACCCCTCCGCTGGTTTTCTGGGCTGACCTCGGGGCTTGGCTGCTGATGCCCTCTGACCTTGCCTGGGGGTCGCTGACCTCTCAGTTGCCTTTGGCAGATGACCCAGGAGTTGAAAACCCTTCTGCCTGGCTCCAAGGCTCTGGCCCCTGCTGACTCCCGTGAACCCAGAGCTGGGGTGGTTTTATGCCCAAGGGGCCCAGGGCCCAGGCTCACGTTCCTCACGGCATCCCCGTGTCCCCAGGCGCTGCCCGCCCTGGTCAGCTCCAGCCAGTCCCTACTGGAGTGGTGCCAGGAGGTCACCGCTGGCTACCGCGGCGTCCGAGTCACCAACTTCACGACGTCTTGGCGCAACGGTTTGGCCTTCTGTGCCATCCTGCACCGATTCTACCCAGACAAGATGTGAGCGGCGTGAGAGGGTGGGGGTGAACTGGGGGGCCTGCCGGGAGGGCGCGGTGAGCCCAGCCTCTGACCGGAGCTCTCTCCGCAGAGACTACGCCTCCCTGAACCCCCTCAACATCAAACAGAACAACAAGCAGGTGAGAGGGGAGGTGCCGGGCCGGGGTCCAGGATGTGGGGTCCGTCCGTCTGTCCGTCTGTCGGCGAGGAGCCCGGGCTGGTGAGCCCCAGCTGTGGCTTGTGGAAGTTCTGCCTCCTTTTATGCTTTTGGTCTTTAATCGTTCGTTTTCGTTAGTTTAGTTTAGTTTTTTTTGTTTTTTTTTCAAGCTTATTTCCACTAAAAGCCATCCTTTTGCTAAGTGAGGTGCAGCCCCACATTTCCTCCAATAGGAGGGTGAGGGCGCTGCTAGGCCCACCCCGGCCTGCAGGTCTTGGGGACCCTCATGGGTCCAGGGCGGGTCCACAGTGTCTCTGGTTAACGGCTGGGTGACACTGCTGACCCCAAGCCCACCGTTCCTAGGCCTTCGACGGCTTCGCGGCCCTGGGCGTGTCTCGGCTGTTGGAGCCCGCCGACATGGTGCTGCTGTCGGTGCCCGACAAGCTCATCGTCATGACCTACCTGTGCCAGATCCGCGCCTTCTGCACCGGGCAGGAGCTGCAGCTGGTGCAGCTGGAGGGCGGCGGCGGCGCCGGCATGTACCGCGTGGCCAGCGCCCCGTCCAGCCCCCCCACAGACCTGGACACCAGCGGCCTGGCGCAGCGGCTGCGCGAGCACCGGGCGGAGGCGCCAGAGGAGACCAAGGAAGCCGCGAGATGCGTGGATGGGGCAGCCCCCGGGGGGGCCTCCCAGGACCGCGCGGCAGAGGCCGCCCAGGAGGCGCGCTCTGCGGAGACCCTGGCCGACGGCTCTGGAGCCGGAGCGTCGGTGCCGCCCGCGGAGGGGCTGGTGAATGGGGCTGCGGCGCCGGGCGCAGGGGCCGGCGTGCGGCTGCGGCGGCAGTCGGTGAACGGGGAGGCGGGGCCGGTGCCCCCGCCCCGCGCGCACGGCTCCTTCTCCCACGTGCGCGACGCCGACCTGCTGAAGAAGAGGCGCTCGAGGCTGCGGAACAGCAACTCCTTCTCGACAGAGGACCCCGATGCGGGGGCAGCTGCAGGAGCCGGGCCTGCGGTGAGTGCCTCCCCGCCGTATAGGGGTCCTAGGGAGCACAGGGGTGGGTCCTGAGGGCCGCCCAGGGCAGAACTGGTGTGATGTGGGGACTCGGCTGGGCTCGGGGAGGCGATTTCTGATCGGAAGGCCCATGGTGCCTGGGGAAGAGCCAGGCAAGGCCCAGCAGGCCCGGAGCGGCTGCGGGAGCTGGGTCCTGGCCATCGCTGCCAGCCTTGGGTGTGTGGCGCAGACTCCCGCCCTCCGCAGTCCGTGTGTGGTGGGTGCGGTACACAGATTCACATGGACTGCCGAGTCCTGTGGAGGAAAAGGGACGGTGCGGCCACTCTCTCGAGGGGAGAGCGACTCTGAGCGCCTCGGCCACTCCCTCCATAGGAGAGTGCCCCGACCCTTGCCTGGACAGGCTTTTATTGCTTTCCAATCCCATTGCATCAAAGAAGGCGCTCATTATTTCTAGATTTAGTGAAGTGATTACTCCTCACAGATAACAAAAAAGGAGAAAAAGTTGCAGATGCAAGGGGATGATAAAAACCACGGATTTGGTTACATTTCGTCCTTGGGACGTCTTAGCACAGACCTGAGGGAGCTGCTTCAGAGATACCCATGAAACAGCTGCTGTCTTCGCTCGGGGCGAGGGGGTTTCAGCAAAAGCGAGTCTCACAGCAGCCTCAGTACAATGCAGGCCTGGTCCCCCAGGGAAAGCCGGTCTGCACGCCTGGCTCCTGCGTGCCGTCTCGCACGGACCGGTTTTCCGGATCAGTGCTGGGCTGCATTCGCCACTGCCACGCTGATTGGTTCCCTGTCGGTGTGGTGGTTTTTTTTGTTTTGTTTTGTTTTTTAAGATTTTATTTATTTATTTTTAGAGAGGGAAGAGAGGGAGAAAGACAGAGAGAGAGAAACATCAATGTGCGGTTGCTGGGGGCTGTGGCCTGCAACCCAGGCATGTGGCCTGACTGGGAATCGAACCTGCGACACTTTGGTTCGCAGCCCACGCTCAATCCACTGAGCTACGCCAGCCAGGGCTGGTGTGGTGGTTTTGAAGTCCTGGCCCCAGTTCGTGCGGTCACGGGCTTTAGTAGGAGATTCCTGAAGGCCCCCATTTGTCAGGGCTCAGCACAGCACTCTGTATGGACTGTAAGCTGGGCTGGGGTTTTTCTCCCCCTGCAGGTGGCCAGGGGTCAGCCAGCAGCTGTGGCCCCCCTGGAAGTTGGGGGCAAGGTTTCCGTACTCAGGGGGGCCGGCCAGGGCCTCCCAACCCCGAGAGTCTCTGACTTGGGCCTGAAACTCCAGATGCGGGAGACCAGCTTCCTCTTTTCTGTGGCAGTGGGAGGTCGGGATCGGAGGCCCAGCTGGCCGTCCCTGTCCTCCCCTCCCCCGCAGGCCTCAGACCGAGGGCTGCCAGGGTGTCACGTGGTCACCGCAGATCTTAACGGGGAGACGGTCCCAGAGAGGGCAGGGGTTTGCGCAAGGACTCAGAGCCACCGAAGTGCAGGCCGTGGGCTCTCCGGGGTGGGGGCGGGGTCCACCCACTCACAGCGTCCTGCCTGCGACAGCAGCTGGCAGGCTGCTCCAAGCCTTCCGCTGCCCGGGGCTGGCTCCTGGGCTAAGGAGAGCGGGGAATGCACTGGGAAAGGCTTTCTGGAAGAAGCAGCCACTCGGGCCAGGCTGACGGAGCAGGCGGGCGTCCCAGGGGAAGAACAGGAGGGGAGGCTCCAGAGTGGGAGCGTCTGCACAAGCACAAATGTGCCAGCAGGAAATCTCGGGTCCCCTGCAGCGAACTGCCAGGCGTCTCCCGTCGGGCCCGTAGGTGGTGGCGAAGGCAGCCCGGGAAGCCGGGACCTCGAGGGCAGGCTCAGAAGCCCAGCACGGAGCCTGTGATGGGATAGGAGACTGGGCGGGCCCGAAGGCCCAGTAGGAGTTGCGATAGATGGGGGTCGGAGGGACACAGTCACCCCGGCTGGCCTTTGGCCTCCGGACACAGCCTTGTTAAAGTGTCAGTGGCTCTTTGAATATTCAACGGGGGGGCTTCTGGGCCCAAGTTCCAGCGTCTGGTCCTTCTAAGCCAGGACCCGCTCCAGCCCTTGTCCCACCCACAGGAGCTATTCGACCAGTGGGAATGGAGTGGGCTTCTCTTTGGCCATTCCTGCCCCCCCCCATGGTGCACATGTGTGGCAGAAGGATGTCAGGCCCAGCCCCACCCTCGGACACTCCCAAAGTCCTGGAATGGGGTGAAGTCAGGCACCTTGAAGCTGGGGTGGGGCTGAAGCCAAGCCATGAGGAGGGCAGTACCCTCTGCTGCAATTCTGCAAGGCTTCCTGGAGGAGGGGCCATACAGAAGGGTGTAAAAGGGGAATTTGGGTCAGACAGGAGGAAGTGTTAGAATTCCCATCAGGGCTGGCGCAAGCAAGCTCAGCTGCTGCTGAGGCTGAGGTTTCTCCCATGTCCTGCCTCTGCCTTGTGGCTGAGCTCTTGCTCTGCACCTGGACTGCCCCTACAACCCCTCACTGACTCACCCCACTGCCCCTTCCAGGGACGGATGACTATCCCATTTTGCAGATGAAAGCATTGAGGCTCAGGGAGACAAACAAAGAGGCAAAGCGAGTTGATACAGATGTGAAGGCAGGTTCTAAATGGTGCCCTCTTCTGGGCCCTCTTCTGGGCCCAGCACTGAGGACTGGCTGTGTGACCCTGGTAGAGCCACTTACCCTCTCTGTGCTGCTTTCCTGAAGATGAGAGGCAAAGGCGTGAAAGTTCTTTGCAAAGTAGCCTGGAGGTACCACTTCAGGGCGCTTGTTCAAAAGGGAGCAGTGTGTCCCCCAGACGCCTCCCTGGAGCCCGGCAGCACCAGCTACCGGGGCTGGGCCTTCTTCCCATCTGACACGGGGAGGCCCGGCGGCTGTGTTCAGGCCAGAGGCAAACAGCGAGTGGGTGGCGGAGCTGGGGAACAGACCTTTAGCCTAGACAGCCCTGGGCCCTGGGCCGGGCCCTGTGTGAGCCTCATCCCTGACTCCGTCTCCTCGCCTGTGAAGGGGAGACGGTGGTCACCCAGCCTCCCAGGGTGGTTGGGGGAATTAAATGAGCCAATACATGTACAGTGCCCAATGTGAATGCTTCATCGATGTCAACTGTTATTTAGTAATGTTAATATTACATGTTTCTTTTAAGATTTTATTTATTTTTAGACAGGGAAAGGGAGGGAGCAAACAAGGGAGAGAAACATCAATGTATGGTTGCAGCTTGCACGCCCCCTACTGGGGACCTGGTCCGCAATCCAAGGCATGTGCCCTGACTGGGAATCGAACCAGCAACCCTTTGGTTTGCAGGCCGGTGCTCAATCCACTGAGCCACATCAGCCAGGGCTAATATTACATGTTTTGTTGTGGACAGAATGTGTTACTGTGTTGACCAGTTCACCCTGAATACATTCTCTGGGCCCTGCCCTGTCTGCAGGGGCTGCCTCTGGTCGGGCAGACACAGGTGACCCATAGCCACCATGGGGCGAGGGCTGGGGTCAGAGCTGTGATGGGGACAGCCCAGCAGGCCATGGAGGACGCACCTGCCCAGCCTGGGGTTCTGGGGGCACTTTAGGAGGCGTGATGGCGACGGAGGGGGAGGGGGCAGAAAGCCCAGCGGGAGCCCGAAGGGGCCTCGGGAGGACCTGGAGATGAGCCAGATCGTGAAGGTCAAGTTGGTGTATGACAGACTCCATGCTGGGGAAGCTGTTTGGGGAAGCGAAAGTCTACGGCTGTAGTGGGAGAGGGCCGTCTGGGTGGGGTTCAGGGTGGTGGGAGTCGAGGCCAGAGCTGCCAGTGGACCTTGACAGCAAGGCCGGGGCTGAGGTGGGCGCGGTGGGGGTTTTCGGAAGACCCTTCGGTGGTGGCTTGAGGGCGGAGTCAGCTGGCAGGGCGTGGGCAGTGGCTGGTGAGGAGGCCCCCAGTGACCCAGGCCAGAGGGAATGGCACCTGAGCAAGGGGTGCCCGGGGCTGCCTCTCACAGAGGGGCAGCATGGGTGGACAGTCCCTCTTCCCTGCTCCGTGACCTAGAAAGGTGGCCAGAGCAGGAGCCATCGACGGGGCCTGGCTATCAGCTGAGCTGAAAGTGGGGAGCCCCCAGGTCTGACAGTCCCGGGGAGTCACCTGGGGCAGGGCAGGGCAGGGCAGGTCCCTCCGTTCCAGGCTAACATTGGTAGTTTCAGCCAACCTGTCTTGTTCCGAGAGATTCCTGAAGTGGGAAAGGCTTTATGTGTAGGAATTGATAACAGGAGAGCGCCCCCTTTTGGTCAGGGGTGGAGGTACTGGCTCAGGATAGCCACATCAGGCCAGCGGTGTCACTGTGCCGGGCCCTGGCCGCGATAAAGATGTCAGCGCTAGGTGACGGGAGTCAGAGATGGCCTGAGGGAGCTCCCTGGAGGAGGGGGCAAGAGGGGGAAGGTGAGGCCCCAGGAGCAAGGATGGTGAGGCTCAGAGTGTGCCACTGGACTGACCCAGGGCCACGGGGCCAGAGACGGTGAAGGCCGTGGGCTTCCTGGGAGGAGGCACTCTTCCTAGAGGGAGTGGGGGCTGGGGTGCTGTGTGTGCAGGACGGGAGGCAGGGCTCGGCTGGGCGAGCTGTGACATTGAGGACCCTAACCCCTAAGAGCGAGGCTCGGGCTGGCCCCCAGGTGGGGTTGTTGGGGCACCCCTCCAAGCCCTCACTGTCTCTTTCCCCCTCTGCAGGAAGGCCCGATCCCCACCCCCAGCCCTCCCACAGCCACAGCCACAGCCCCACCGCAGCCCGCCGGTGAGTAGCTTTGAAGGGGTGGTGACCCAGCGCAGCTCAAGCTGCTCATAGATCCTGCGCTGGGGGCCTCCTGGGGGCAGGTGTCAGTTGGAGGTGCCTTAGCCCGGTCTCTCTCTGCAGGTGGCAGTCCCCCATCGGAGGAGCCACCCCCAAGCCCAGGGGAGGAGGCTGGGCTGGTAAGGTGGGCTGGGGCGGGAGGAGCTGATGAGTGGGCTCTTCCCAGGCAGGGCCTGGGCTGAACCCCGCCCCCTCCCCCACGTTGCACCCCAGCAGCGGTTCCAGGACACGAGTCAGTACGTGTGTGCGGAGCTGCAGGCCCTGGAGCAGGAGCAGAGGCAGATCGACGGGCGGGCAGCTGAGGTGGAGACGCAGCTGAGGAGCCTCATGGAATCAGGTGGGCTGGGCACCTGGAGTCCGCTCCCCACCACCCGCCATCGGACCCGCCCAGTCCTACAGCCCTCCCTGACCTTGGGAGGAGGTGGGGGGAGGCAAGACTGGGTTCATCGTTCCCATTTACAGCTGGGCACACCGAGGCCCTGAGCAGGGGAGCAGCTCGCTGGGGGTGCAGAGCCCTGGCTTCTGGGGTGCCACAAGGGAGCAGGCCCCTGCCCCCACCCCCCTGGGTCAGTGGCAGGCCTGGTGACTGTCCAGGCCCGGTGCAGGTGCCAACAAGCTGCAGGAGGAGGTGCTGATCCAGGAGTGGTTCACACTGGTCAACAAGAAGAACGCACTCATCCGGAGGCAGGACCAGCTGCAGCTGCTGTGAGTGCGGGCCCCTCGCTCACGGGGCCCTGGCCCCGCCCCTCGCTCACTGGTGGTCCTGGCCCCGCCCCGGAGCCCCCAGGGTCCTCGGAGCAGAGCCGCTCAGCTGCTTTGGTTAGGGGGACTCACTGCTTTCTCCTCTCCATGAAGAGCTTTTTGAAGAATTGCTCAGCCATCTTAATTTTTTTCCTATCTGATTTCCTGTATGAAGTGTGTACCTTCTTAAGCGGGTGCTGGTTTTACTAATGAGAGAAAAGTATGCAGACAGCTCTGGGCTGGGTGCCCCAGTGTGACCCTGTTCCTTTACAGTTAGGGCAACTGAAGCCCGGAGAGCTCAGCTGGTTTCCTGTGTGGGGTCAGAAACCATTGTAGTCCTGCGTGGTGGAGGTGGTTTATTTTGGATCCCTTTTCAGAATAAGTTTAGTTAAATGCTTGCTTTATGAGTAATGATCATGCAAATAATCCCACTGGGGTTGTCTTTATTTTTGAAAACGGGGTGGGGGTTGGGAGAGACAGTGTGAACCTCCAGCAGTTGGAACAGAAGAGGTGACTGATTCCGGGTTATAGCTCTGCCCCCAGCCCAGCCCTCCAGGAACTCACTGGTGGCAAGGCGGATGGGGACCAGCGAGTGGTCAGCGCCCTGGGCTTTCCCTCCCACGCCCCTTCCCCTGAGCTGGCATCTCTGCCCCCCCAGCATCGAGGAGCAGGACTTGGAGCGGAGGTTTGAGCTGCTGAGCCGAGAGCTACGGGCCATGCTGGCCGTCGAAGGTGGGAGATGGGGCCGGAGGGCCTGGGGCCGAGGATGGGGCAGCGGGCGGTGCCGCCTGACCCTCCGCCTCTTCCGCCCTCAGACTGGCTCAAAACGGCGGCGCAGAAGCACCGAGAGCAGCTCCTGCTGGAGGAGCTGGTGTCGCTGGTCAACCAGCGCGACGAGCTGGTCCGGGACCTGGACCACAGGGAGCGGATGTGAGTGGGGGGAGCCGGAGCGGTGGGGACGAGGGGTGGGAGGAGTCCGGGAGCGCACTCCCAGGGGTGCTGGGTCTGGCCCGCCGCCCGCTGACTTGCACCCTTCCGTCGCAGCGCCCTGGAGGAGGACGAACGCCTGGAGCGCGGCCTGGAACAGCGACGTCGTAAGCTGAGCCGGCAGCTGAGCCGGCGCGAACGCTGTGCGCTGAGCTGAGGCCGCGCCGCCGCCGGTGTCCTCGGCTTTTCTGTCGCTGCTCCCGGCGTGCGCTGCGGACGACCGAGCCGTCTCGGCTGCTGCACGCGGCCTGTAGGGGCCGCCGTCGCCCCTCTACTCGGAGGGGTAGGGCGGCCTTTCAGGCCCAAAAAGGGGCAGGAGCGGCTGGGCGGCGGCGCCGTCGGGCCTTATTTATTTGTCCGTGTGTGTGTGTGTCCGTGTGTGTGTGCGCGCGTGCGGGGTTGGGGGTCCCTGGGGCGCCTCGCAGAACCCCTCCCCGAGGGCAGGGCGCCGGCGGCCAGCCCCAGGGGAGCGGGATGGGCGTGAACTGCCGCGCCCACGCTCCTCCTATTGCTGTTCCTTGTGAGGAATAAAGTTGGACAGGGCGACACCGGGCCGGCTTTTTCTCGGGACGGCTGGGGTTTTCAGTAGACAGAAGGGGCTGGTGTTCCGGTGGGTAAGGTTGTCTCCAACCCTAAACGGGGCTCCGTGGGCCTTGAGGTTCCCAGATGCCTGCGGAGGCAGGACCTCAGCCTCGGAAGGTTGATGCGGGTTTGGGTTGTTGACCACCGTAGAGAAGAACCATTTTGAAAGAAGAGAGAAAAGCATGGTTGGGGTTGTTGCCTATTTTTTTATTTTATTTTATATACTTTTGGAGAGAAGAGAAGGAGAGAAACATCGATGTGGGAGAGAGAATGTCGATCCGTTGCCTCTTGCACGCTCCCAGCCAGCAACCTGGCCTGCAACCCAGGCAGGTGCCCTGACTGGGAATCGAACTGGCAACCTCTTGGTTTGCAGGCCAGTGCTCCATCCACTGAGCCTCACCAGCCAGGGCCCATTGTGTGCTCTGAGGTCCTCACGCCCACCCCTCCCCTCCCATCTCTGGAGGCTTCCTCCTCAGGCCTCTTCATCTGAAAGGCGTTAGCTGCATCGCCTGACACCTGTCAGCAAGCCGGGGCCTGTTCTGGGGCTGTGGTTGCGGGGGGCAGGGTGCTCAGAGCCAGTGCGTCCTGGCCTAGGATGCCACCTTGGTCTTCAGTGGTCGAAGGGCCACTGGGCCCGAAAAACTTCACCATGGCATGGACCTGTGGCAGCTCCAGGAACGTCTCCACTGCCAGCAGCATGGCCAGGAGCCCCAGGAGCAAGTAGCCTGGGGAAGAGAGGTTGCTAGGGCAGCTTTTGGGGTGCTGCTGATGCTCCCCGTCCACCTAGCCTGGTGACCCACCCTGGCACCTGATGCCACTCGCAATTCTGCTGGCTGGATTCTTCCAACTACAGTTCCCTCCACCTATGAGGCACAGCCTCCCCAGTGGCTTATGGGAGTTGTAGTCCAGACTCTTCCCTCCTCCACTGGTGTTCCTTGGCACCTGGACTCACCAAGAAGTGCCATCTCGCCGAGGTGGTAAAGCACTGGATTCAGGTCACGGCCACGACCGGGCAGCAGGTCCCCCAGGCCGATGGTGCTGAGGGAGCCGAAGCAGAAGTAGACGGCCTCCAGCAGGCTGCCGTCGCGCCGCAGACCCCACAGCACCAGTGCTGGCAGCAGCACGAAGGTGCCGGTCACTAGCAGGCCTAGCGCAGCCGCCTGCAGCAGCGCAGCCCTGGCAGGGGCCAGCTGCCAGCGGACAGCTACCCAGGCAACCGGGCGGCCGAGCAGAGGCAGCAGGCAGTGGCGCAGTGTGGCCACGAGCGCTAGGGAAGCTGGCAGCCCCAGGGCCGCGTACACCACACAGAAGGCCTTTCCACTTGCCGAGAGCGGGGCCATGCTGCCATAACCTGGACAGGAGCAAGACAGTGGGCAGTGAGCACTTGAGTGCAATGCCTGCTGGGGTCCACACTTCCCCTAATAAGCCTCAGCTGAAGGCTGCCCTCTAGTGGCTGAAATTGCCAGAACTGTTCAGGCCCGTGCTCTGGCTGGCTCTGCTCATTCACTGGGGTTCTTGGGTAAGTCCCTTAACCTCTCTGGGCCGCTCTTTTACCTTCTGGAAAGTGACAGAATTAAAAGAGGCAGTCTCCCCTCAATCCTCTTGCCTGGCTTCCCAGGACTCCTCAGCTCTGCCCTCGACCGATACTTCCACGTCCAGCGGGCAGAATATCACCCACTCCTTGATTCCCCAAAGGTGTATCGAGTTATCCTGTGTGCTGGGCCTTGCGCCGGAACCTGTGTCTGCTCAGGCCCTGCCATTGGATGCGGGGACACAGGCAGGGAAATCTGGCGAGACGCGTGATGGGAAGAGCTGCAGGAGAGGCAGCGTGTGTGGGAAAGGGCATTCGGCGCTGGAACAGCCCGAGCAGAGCCCAGGAAAGGTGTGAGGGTGGGAGAATGGGGTCAGCTAGTCCGAGGCTGTGAACTCCCGTGCCTGGAGGCACCCGGCGGCATGAGACGAGGGAGCAGCGGGGCCTGGGGTGCGCCGCGGGGCATGCGCCCTGCCCGGAAGGGCAGGCCCTGTTCCACTCCAGCCGGTATATTGTCTCGATATGAGTAGGTTTCTGATTTCTCCAAACGAAGTTGGAAAAACAGACTAATTAAAAAAATATATTTAGAGACTTCGCAGATCAAAAAGACAGCGACAACAGGAAACCGGGCTGTGGGTTCCTGGGGCTGAGAGTCCCTTTGCTTTGCCTCTCTGGGCCTTCACACCTGCTGTTCCCGGAGTCCCTCGCCCCGTCTCTGGGCCCTGACTGGCATCTCATCCAGACCTCCTCCCCGGGGGGCCTCCCCCCACATTCCCTCCTGCGGGGGTGCTCCCGCACTCCCCGGGTTCGCTGCATTTGCCTCCATCCGAGAATCCATTCTTGCCTCACTTTGGCCCGTGGGTTCCGGGCACCTCTCCTGGGTCTCAGAGTGTGCCTGGGGGTGGGGCTAGGGGCCACACCCCTCCTGGCAGCTGAAGTTGAGGCACCAGTTGGGGTGTGTTGGTGGGAAGAGTCTCTGCTCTGATGTCAGGCCTCATAGGGCCTGGGCTCTGGCTGGCACCTTGGAGCTGGGGGAAGGGCTGCGTCCCCAGGAAGCCCAGGGAGTGCTGGAATCAGGAGCCCCCTCCTGCCCAGCCGCCTGGCAGCCTTACCCGTGGTGGTGAGGATGCTGGCGGTGAAGAGCAGGGCTGAGGGCAGGTCCCAGGTCCCGGCCTCTGAGCCATTGCCCAGGCTGGAGACCCCGTGGGCCTGGGCCGCCAGGGCGGTGCCCAGCAGCTCCTCCAGGGCCCCGGTTGGCAGACATGCCCCGTACTCCGCCTGGAAAGTGGCCAGCTCAGCCCTGAGTTTGGCCTGGAGCCGGAGTGCCGGAGGCCCCTCCAGGGCCTGGAATACCACAGCCCCCAGCCCTAGAGCTAGCCAGTGGGCCACCATCAGTAGCCCACATCGGGCCCAGGGCCTCAGGCCCCCCATGGTGCACCGCCTGCGAGTCTGAGGTGCCCTGAGAGCCGGCTGCTCCACCTCAGGCGCCGGGGAGGGGCTGGCAGGTGGGGCTGGCGGGAGGTGCCGCGTGGGTGGCTGAGAGTGAGGAAAGCTCAGGGACACAGCTGGGATGAGTGTGAGAGGGAGGGAGAGGAGGCAGCTCAGGCCTGGAGGTGAGCCGGATCACTCCTCTGGGAGCCATTCGTTGCCCGATTCCCCGAAGCTGGGGCGGTGAGGGCGGGATGGAGAAGGACGAGGCCCACAGAGGGGACGGCTGGCTCCATAGCACACCGCGGCGGTGCCACGCTCGCCCGGTCACATGTGCTGCACCCACCGCTCAGCAGGGGCTCCCATCCCGAGAACACGGGAAGGACAGACACAGGTGCCGTCCCTCCCGGTGTTCACACAGGAAACGTGTTAGCAAGGGAACACGACAGGTCCCACTGCCGTCCACGCCCTGAAGGAAAGTCTTGGGTAATGGGCGGGCTCTGTGGGAGGGGAAGGTCAGTGGGGCGGCTCCTGTGAGAGTGACATTTCAGCGGGGGGACAGAAGACACCAGTCAGGGGGACAGAGCTGGGGAGAGGGAGGGGGCCGGCTGTGGGGGAGCCCAGACCGTGACTCCCACACACCGTGGAACCCCATGGTAGTAAGGAAAGGGGGAGTGAGGCCAGCTGCCAGGGTGGCTCCCTCCTCCTGTGTCCAGACCCTGGGAGAGACAAACCCAAGGTGAACCCCCGAAATGCTGCCCAGAGGACTGTGGGTTTGAGTCCAGCCAGCCGCCCAGGTTGGGAGCAGCTCGGCCAGGGAAGGCGTCCCAGGGGAGGCAATGCCGAGCCAGCCCCCAAGGATAAGCGAGGGCCTTGTGGCAGCAGTGAAGTCGCTTGCAGTGGTGGGAAAGGCCGGGCGGGGGGCGGGGGTGACGCATCTGTGCAGGTGGCCAGGGAGGCTGACAAGGGCCATGACAGCCTGACTCAGTCCCAGGAGGGGGGTATGGGGCCGGGCCCCCGCCTAGGCCCAGGCTGGCTGCCGGGGGCATGAAGTCACCACGGTCGTGTGATGGGTCGGATCCCTGGTTACTTCCAAGAAAGGTGACAGGCTGGGCTTCAGGAGACAGCTTGGGGAGTTTATTTGGCTTCATTGGATCCCGAGGCCGAGGCCCCAGACCTGGCCGGGGCAGCAGAAAGGCACCCAGAGAACCCCGGCCCCAGATGACCCCCGGGGCAGCGGGGGGGTGGGGTCCAGGCACTAAGCCCTGGGGCAGGGGCCGCAGTGGCAGGACTTGGTCAGAAGTGCTGGTGACAGCCGAGGCTGGCCCCTCTCCCTCGCGCCTCCCCTCCTCCCTGCACTACCCTGGGGGGCAATTCCCTGAGACAGCCTATGGTTCTCCCAACTGGCCGGGTACAGTGTCAGGCCCCAGTGGGGCAGGTAAGTTGGGGGACCCACAGGTTGCAGGTATGTGGGGGGTGCAGGCCCCCCATCCAGTGTGAAGGCTTCCTGTGCAGTGTAGTGTTCCTGACCCCCAGAGGGGGCGGGGTCCCTGGGGGGAAACCGAGGCAGTACGGAGGCTCGCCTGGCTCCCGTTCCAGTGTATGCTGTGGCTCCTCCAGGACAGCTGGAGCTCGGGGGGGGGGCAGCTCGGCCCGCTCACGGCCCTGCCTCCGGCACCCATGGGGCCTGGGCGCCCATGTCTTTGGTCTGCGCCCTGCAGTCCTGAGGCCCGCCCCGGAAGGGGTTGGCAGGCGGAGAGTCCCAGAAGGGGTCTGAGTCTGGGAACAAGGTCCAGGGTGCCCGGCGGGGCACAGGCTGTGGCGAGGGCAGGGGCGAAGGCCGTGGCCCGGCGGACACGAAGCTCCACGGGTCGATGCGGCTGCGGAGGGGCGAGGGCCGAGGTCGGCTGATGAGGCCCAGGGGCGGCGAGCGCGGGGTGCCCGGGGTGCCAGGGGCGGAGCGCGATATCCCCGGCGGCGGGGAGACGGTGCTTCCTGTGGAGGGCGGGAGAGGGCACGGGGTCAGGCGGCCGCCTCCCCCTGGGCGTCCCCGGGAGGCGCTGCCCTGCTCAGGGCCCCGGGCTGGGCCGTGGTGCAGAGCCAGGCCTGCGGAGCAGACAAGCCCGGGCTTGGACCCCGGCTCTGCCACTTCCTAGTGGCAGCTGTGAGTCGCTCGCTCGCTCTGTGGCTTCAAGTTCCTTGTTTAAAAAAATACATCTAATGAGAGCGGCTAGTTTGCAGGGCTCTTACGGTGACTGAGTGGGACGCCCTCTCTGAAGCACTGGAAACAGCCCCTGACAACCGTGAACAAGTAGGGGTCTGCTGTCGTCACCGCTGTCGTCACCACTTCTGTTATTTCACAACCGGCCCGGCCTGGCCCGGCCCACTCCACCCCTGCCCACTGGGTGACTGAGCTTAGAATTCAGTTCCTTTCATGCGTGCCCCGCGGCCTGCTACGGGGCCCAGCAGAAGGCTGTGGGGCCGTGGGCCGGGCCGCCGGGCCCGCCTCCTCCCTCACCAAGCATCAGGCCTGCAAAGGCCCACTCACCGCGCCGCTCTTCCTCGCGCCGGGGGCTCTTGGCTGATGGCTGGCCCGCTGGGATGCCCAGGTCCAGCAGCAGGGGCGCGGGGCTGGATGGGCTGGGGCTCAGCCGGGAGCTGGGGGTGCTGGACGTCTTGGAGGAGAAGCGGGCGAGCCGGGAGGGCAGCGGGGAGGGGGGCTGGACCGGAGACGCTGTGGGCTGCGGCGTGGAGGGCATTTGTGGGGCCTCCCCTCGATCTCGGCTCGGGCCCCCGGGGGGCTGCAGGTCACGGCCAAGGCCCAGCGAGGCAAGCAGGGCCGTGCCACGCAGCAGTGCGCGCTGGATCAACTTGGGAGTCCCGGAGCCGCTGCTGCGCTCCGCCGGGGCTGGGGCAGGCCGCCGTGGCTCCTCCGGCTCCTGGCTCGGCCGCGGAGGGTTCCCTGGTGGGGAGTGGGGCACAGGTTAGGCTGTGTTCAGGAGGGGAGCCCTGGGACCCCTCAGTGGCTCTGGTACCAGGCCTGAGTTCTGCTGCCACATCTTCCTTGACCAGGTCCGCCGGGCCTCCCCCCCACTAACTAGCCTTCCAGAAGTTGGGGGGGGCAGCAGTGAGGGGAGAGCAGTGCAGGCCAAGAAACCCACAGAAGCAAAGCCCGGGAGGCAGCCAGCTGCCCTGGAGCCCAGAGATGGGGAACCGGGGGAGGAAAGGGGTCCGCCAGGAGGCAAGCTGAGGCCAGGTTACAGGGGGCCTCAGTGGTCTCCATGGCCAGCCAGGGGCACCTGGAGGGTCCCAGGGGCAGGACCAGGACCTGTGCCCACCTCCTTCTTGGCCGGGCAGAGCCTGAACTTTCTGCCTCCCTGTCCCAACTCCAGCGGTAGCTTATCTGGGGGCGCAGGCCAACCCCGAGGTACACCTCAACGTCCCTGTTCCAGGAATGGGGGAAGCGGAGGCTCGGAGCGGCCAGTTGTGTGTGACAGGCCCTGCTGAGCGATTTAGGGGCGTTATGTCGCCGACCCCCATAGCAGTGCCAGGCTCGGAGAAGTTCAAGGCTGGCCTGAGGCTGCACGGCCAGCACGGGGTGGTGAAGCTGCTCTCGGCCACTTCCCAGCCAGACTCTGCTTTGGGTTTCAGGACACCTGGGTCCTACCTGTGGACCCAGGCGGGCTGCCACTGAGGAGGTGGGGAGTGTCTATGATGGCCTCCCCCAAACCCCAATTTTGTCAGGTCCTCCTTGGCTCTAGGACCTGCCGTGACCCTCCACCGGCACTAGAATAAAGTCCAAACTCAAAATGAAAAAAAAAAACAAACAAAAACAAACAAAAAAAACAAAAACAAAACAACACTCCAAGCTCCTTGGCTGGGCCTCCAAAGCCCCAGCGCTGTCCCTTCGGCCTCCCCCTTGCTCTTCGGGCCGCGCCCAGAGCGGGCCTGCCTGGAGCGGAGAGGAAGAAGCGCGGGGCTGGGGGTGGGGGGGAGCCCTGTTCTCAGCCACAACCCCGACCCAGTCTCTGCGACTCCCGAGACGGGTCTCTGTAGAAAAAGTTATTTCCGGTCCCTTCCTGAACTGGCTCCTTGCTTATCTTTCCAATTTCGCTCACTCATTCATTCAACAAACTTCTGCTAACAGGTGTGCTGGGGCTAACTACTTCACAGATCCAGGAAGTGCAGGCCAAGCCCCTCCCACCCCTCCCCGGCTCTCAACCCCACTCTGAGCTGCAGCCAGGCTTCCCCTTGCTCAGGCGCGGTGAGCCCCACGCCTCCCAGCGCACCTCTCCCCCTCATCAGGACCCAGCTCAGATGTCACCTCTGTGAAACTGACACTGTGAGGTAATACAAACATGGATTTGAGCCTGGCTGGTGTGGCTCAGTGGATTGAGCACCAGTCTGCGAACCAAAGAGTCACCAGTTCGATTCCCAGTCAGGGCACATGACTGGGTTGCAGGCCAGGTCCCCAGTGGGAGGGTGAACGAGAGGCAACCACACATTGATGTTTCTCTCCCTCTCTTTCTCCTCCCTTTCTTTCCTCTCTAAAAATAAATACAAATTCGTATTTGATCGTCCTCGCAATCCTGGCACAGAGCTCCTAAAACCCTGGGAATTTTCTAAGTGGTAGAGTGATAAAGGTAAAAGGAGCATGTTTTTGTCCAAAAGGAACCCTTTTTAAATTCGTAACAAACCCCTTGTAACCACATGGGGTGACTTCCCGTGAGCCGTAGGGATGCCGGAAGTGTCATTAGGAACCGTCAGCCCTGCCCCCTCCAGGGAAGGGAGAGGCTGGAGACTGAGTTCAACCCCCCGATCATCTTGTCGATCAATCACACCCACTGAGTGGAGCCTCTCCAGGAGCCCAGCAGGAGGGGTCCCGGGAACTCTCGGAGAGGGAGGGTGTTGGCCCCGCCCCTCCCACACCCCTGCCCTGCACACTTCTCCGTTCCGGCTGTTCCTGAGCTGTGTCCTTTACACAGGGGCGTCCCACCTGCAGCCCAAGACGGCTACGAACGCAGCCCA